ACCTAAAGATTTGAGGAGAAATCTGCAATGTTTTTCTATGCGTTGTTACGGAAGTTATTACTGTTACTATTGTATTGTAATCTATTTTTCTGATACACGTCCTTCAGAATTGTCTCCATGAAAATATTATTGTTTTGCCTGGAATGCTCCACATTGTCATCTCCATGGAGACAAGCAGGAGATGCCACCAGGCTAAATTATAGGTCGGATCTGTGGAGAGATTACTTTCTTTCCCCAATAAAAATACCTGCAATTGAATAAACGCAGGATATATGGGTTTAACGTGATATTGTGGAACATTCCAGGTAAATTACATCTACATGGAGACGAGCAAATTGCAGTTACTTAGTGTACCTCTAAATATAAATATCACTACATTTCCTTCGTATCCAAACGCGTGCTGTAATTACAACATCTGATTGACGAGATGATCTTCTGTCACCACTCTCCATCTATAATTAAGGAAGCAGAACCACACCTCCTCTGAACCTCCTCCTCCTGTAAACAACACTTAACAACCGCGACTTTCACTCTACGGACCAGAGGAGGGGCAATAACTACAAAAACTTAATATCTAAGAAAAAGCTAAGCAGATTATATTGATAGGCCAATGATGTTCATTATGTCTTCTTATATACTTTAACTTCTTGGGTTCTTTTTAAAGACAATGCAGTAAAGTGTGTTTACCTTGTTGACATGTTTTGGCTGCTGCATCTTCAGAACTGTCCCCGGTGTTGGTGTTGACGTGTCGTATATCAGTTGTTGTTACTTCCTGTAGGCGTGGTCAGCCTGACGGACCTGCAGGTCGCTCAGACTGACCACGCCTCCCGTCGCCCGGTGTCTCTGGAGGAGGGTGTCCCAGGTGTGTGAAAGGAGGAACGCTCCGTCATCACGGGTCATGCTGTCCGTGCCTCGCTTTCTGATTTCACTGTCCTCCTTGATCCAGCGTTTGAACTTGTTGTTTTCCGATCCAATGATCCGAGCCCCGTCCCAATCCATAATGTGGTTGTTCCTTTTACAGTGTCTGATATGGCGGATTTTAGATTTTAGGTTTTCCTGTTCTGCTTTGTCTTTTTGTGTTCTGGTGAGTCTCCCTGACGTTTCCTTTTCGCATTCCTTTTGGTGTTCCTTTTTTCGGATGTGAAATGCCCGGCCTGTTTCCCCTATGTATGATTTATTGCATGATTTGCATTGGATTTCGTAGATGGCATTGCCAGTTAGATTATATTGATATTTAGACGTACAAAAACCAAGAAATGTAAAGACGCGTGAGAGACGAAGGAGCTCATTGGTCAATCGTCGTTTACAAACAAAATCATCTCAATGGCCACGTTCACATGATGATTTTTTTATTCCGAATTGATTGTTCTGAATGAAATAGTTCTGAATGAAAATATTCTAATTCAAGTTTACATGGAAAACACGTTAAATCGCTTTTATTTAATTCTGCTTAACGTCTGGGGGTGGGGAAGGGCTCTGATTGGACAGAGACATGAAAGTATTTACGTCGACCAGAAGAAAACGCACACTTCAGCTGCTACCGACTTTTCTGTCACCTCGGTTTGTCGTTACGCCACGGACACAAACACGATCCAAACTTTTTCCGCTGTCGTTTCAATGATAATGAAGCAGCAGCTGTTCGAGAATTCTGTCATCACGCTTTACGTCAGTCGGCTGAGGAGGAGAAGGGAAGAGTGTCGGAGAAGGAGGAAGAAGACAAACTGAGTCGACGGCTGCTCTGCCTCAGCCCACTCCTGCATCCCTCTCGCAAATCCAAAGAGACGTGGATGAAAGTCTGAAGCCACGACTGGTGGAGCTGGATCGTCCGGATCACGTTAGAAGGGCGACCCAACAAGCATGTGCTGAACGACCGGAATTATTTTTACGAAGAAGAAACGTTTACATGATCGAGAAATAAATTAATTCAGCTTTAAAATCGGAATAAACCACCGACTTACTTTGGAATCAAGTTTAAGTCCAAATAATCATTTTCATTAGGAATAGGAGTGTGCAAAAATATCAAAATATCAAAAAAGCGTATTGCTTATTGTGATGACACAGTATTGATATTGTGGGCTGCTGTATTGATATTTCTTGGTATATTTTACAAAATTATTTTGTTACAGCTACAGTTTTGTTGCTTGTTTAGTGGAAGGAAACTTGTTCATGCGACACATTTGACATTTTCACTGTTTTGATGAGTAAAATGTTTGTGTTTCATATGAACTTTGCACAAGAAGCGGTTTAAAAAAAAACTTTTTGTATCACAGTTATGATTTATCCAATATTTTATAATGAGTCATACTGAATCGATTTGAAATATATCGTATCGAATTGAAAGCTCACTGTATTGAAGTATGTATCGTATCAGTAACTTCTTAATGATACCCAGCCCTAATTAGGAATTGAATTAGGAAGTGTTTACGTGGTCTTTTAAAAGCGGAATTAATTTTTATTCAGAATTTTAATATTTTTATTCGGAATTAAAGCTCTCAAATTTCGGATTAACCTCAGGTACTTTTTTGTTCATATGATTTCTGGGTTTCAGATGAGATCACAAGAGATTCTACAGGCCAAAAATATTTAATACAGACAAGGGGGTGGGTAAAATGAATATTTATGCAGTTTTTTGTTTAGTGCACTGAGTTCTTGGTTTTGGTCACTAATCAAAATGATAAAGTCCAACATTTGTGAACTGTCCTCTTCGATATTTAATTTTATTTCACTCAAGTTAGACTTTAAAGGTGCATTGTGTAAATTTTCTGATGGAGGGTCCGTCAAACGCTTTTCCCCATGAAGATTATTAAAGTTACTGCGTTGTCCGGAATGTTTCACAGTGTGGCTTTAAACCTTTCTATCTCCGTGGAGACCAAACCAGACCAAGTTACAGGTCAGATCTGCGGAGAGGCGACGCCGCTCACGGTCAGAATGTCTGTTTTTCTAAGTATTTTTGAGCTATAACACCACTTGTAATCAAATAAATGTAAAGTAGAGCTGTTTAAAGTCACACTGTGGAACATTCCAGGCAAAGAAATGACATCCAATCCATAGAAACAAGCAGGTGAGGGACGCCCGAACTAAAAAGTCGCACAGTGCACCTTTAATTTGAGCTTTATTTTAACACAATCTCACCAGAACATAAAAGAAATTCAAATAGAAACTTAAAAATCATTTCTATTTTAACTCACATCTTCATAAAGTATTGAAGAAGCGAGTTTTCTGGATCTCGGGCTACACATCTCTGACCGCCCCCTCCTCTTTTTCCTGGACGTCGTAACAAGACGAGCTCAGGCTGCTCCAGGAAGAGGCCCGTTCGTTCACCAGTAATGTGTGGGTCGATTACAATCCCATTTATAGTTATTGTTTCTATATTTAGCTCTCGATTAAAAGTTATGACAGGACAAGTACGTACGGCTCGGGGATCTGACAACATCCAAATCTCACGTCCACAGTCCTAACACAGAGCTGACGACGTGGTAAAAAATTGGAGAGCGGCTCAAAATGATGGATTATTTTCGTTTAAAATTATACCCCTGAAACGACCTTAAGGGGAATCATTACTCAAATTCAACAGACTATTACAATATTTGTGTTTGCTAAAATAGAGCAGAATTTCTATGGATTTAATTTTTTTTTTTTTTAGGTTCCATGGTCACATACTTTGTCTCATCAAAAATCCCAGCATATTTAGGCTGAGTTCTTCTCTCAAAAGGAAAACACTCTAATCCACCTTGTGATGTCATGTGGTAATACAGGAAGTGCTCCACTGTGTTTACATCTTTACTAGAATCGCTTGGATGATTTTCAGACCAGGAATTGCCGATCGCTATTGAACTAAAGGGGAAAAGTAGCTGTTAACTTTTCAACATGTTAACTAACATTTTCAATTTCCGTGACTTTTCCAGGATTTCCATGACTGTGGGAAGCCTGAAACTACCACTTCATGACATCACAAAGTGGAAGAGAGCGTTTTGAGATGTGGACAGACTAATAAAGCTGCGTTATTGAATGAAACAAAAACACAACTCCAGGTATGTTTTTGAAGGGCAAACAACATGTTTTATAACATGCCTTAAAGCTCACAAGTCAATTTTGTATAAGATAGTACAATAAAATATTACTTTCAGTGTTCATGTTGTCAACTCTATATCTTGTTTTACGTTTTTCTATACGCAGGGTTACCACTCTTTTTCTTTGACAAAATTTCAAAACTTTTCCATGATTTTTTCATAACCTAAAGTGAATTTTCCATGACTTTACAGCACCTACATGTGTACAGTTGATCAGACTTTTAGGGCTGGATATGAAATGTTAATCCTTTACACTCACCTTATGGTTTGTTATTATAGTTTTTAAACATTCAAAATACTGTCAGTGCATTTACTGTCGTCTCTTTTAAACAAAAGGTGCAGAGTTTCAGAAATAATCGTAATAGCCTCATGAGAACTTAACAGAACGATGTAGTTGCGTGAAAGAGATAATAAAATTCCTTGACTCTTCCAAAACTTTCATTGAATATACAAAATCCCATGACTTTTCCAGGCCTGGAAAATGACATTTTCAATTTCCTTGACTTTTCCAGGACTGTCAGAACTGGGTCACGACCCTCAGGTGGGTCGCAAAAGATTTTTTTTTGGGCCGCCTAGTCATGATCTGCATGTAGGTCTGAAATGTTTATGAAAGACATAGTTTGTATACTTTCTAATCTTTTTGTAATTATGTTATTGACTATTTTGTTCCAATATTGCTGGTTCAGTTGAATGTTGAAAAGAAAAGGAACTGTTCTACATTTAATGCCCAAATATGCGATTGAATGGATCCTTTTATTGCTGCTTCAATTACTGTTTTTCAGGTTTAAAACATGAGTAAAACTAATTGTTCGAAGAGACACGATCACTCAGTCATCGGTCCCCAGAAAAAAAGTTTGGCAAACACTGCTGTATATGATGAGCATAACTGAAACAGGCCTATTCAATCTTAAATATAAAGTCTGCTCTAACCTGGCGACTTTGGCGTGGCTGCCGATGATGTCGCTCTCCAGGTCGAGGAGGGGCTGGTGGTTGCGGAGCCCCGTGAGCCTCTTCAGCCTGAGCAGAGCCACACAGAACTGGGCTCCCATCTCCTCCAGCTCCCTGGTCCCGATCTGGAGGCCCTGGAACACAACAAGCAAATACTGTACTAAAAAAAGAATGACTAATCCAGCTAATCTGATGTAATGTGAAGGAGTATCATGGTTGGATTTGATGTTTTACAAGATGATGCCATTTTCCCCTATTGATTATCCGGTATGTTTACCTGCTCCTGTCTCTAGTAAAAATTACAGACCTAAATACCTGATATGTGACCTGAAAGCAAACCACGCACTTAAATCCATTATATCACTCAAATATAAGTACAGACGGGTCATAAAGAGTGTACTTAATGCACTTAATACACAAAACTCTGCCCAGCAACAAGAAAATCCAGTTATTTTATTTTCATCAGAGGCGTAGTCCCATAGACACATTACCAGTAAAAGTTTGGACACACTTTTCCATTTATTTTTCTTGTTTATTTCCACTTTACCATTTTACATTGTAGGTTCAATGACTCATATGGAATGTAATAAACAAAAAAAACTCAAAACTTGCTTTAGATTAAAACATGTTCGCTCTGAACCCTGGTTTGCACTCTTGGCATTTCTTGACTGAGACAAGTCCATCACCATCTAGGGCCATGAGGTGGAAATAGTGACTACTACAAGTACCTTGGCGTCCAGGTGAACAACAGGCTGGACTGGAGGGACAACTGTGACGCTGTGCACAAGAAGAGCATGAGTAGACTCTACTTCCTGAGAAAGCTCAGGCCTTTCAAAGTGTGCAGCAAGTTACTGGGGATCTTCTACCAGTCTGTGGAGGCCAGTGCCCTGTACTTGGCTGTGGTCTGCTGGGGGAGCAGCACCAGTAAAAGAGACACTTAGTGGATTGACAGACTGATCTGTAAAGCTGGTCATGTGATCAGTCTGTGAGCTGGACACATTTGTCACAATGAGGGACAAGACGACACCGGACAAACTGCTCTCCATCATGGACATTCCTGCTCACCCACTTGCACTAGACTACAGAGGGACAGATAATACTCCCTACAACTGTACAACAACTCACCCACTGCACTAGACTACAGAGGGACAGATAATACTCCCTACAACTGCACAACAACTCACCCACTGCACCAGACTACAGAGGGACAGATAATACTCCCTACAACTGCACAACAACTCACCCACTGCACCAGACTACAGAGGGACAGATAATACTCCCTACAACTGTACAACAACTCACCCACTGCACTAGACTACAGAGGGACAGATAATACTCCCTACAACTGTACAACAACTCACCCACTGCACCAGACTACAGAGGGACAGATAATACTCCCTACAACTGTACAACTCACCCACTGCACTAGACTATAGAGGGACAGATAATACTCCCTACAACTGTACAACTCACCCACTGCACTAGACTATAGAGGGACAGATAATACTCCCTACAACTGTACAACTCACCCACTGCACTAGACTATAGAGGGACAGATAATACTCCCTACAACTGTACAACTCACCCACTGCACTAGACTATAGAGGGACAGATAATACTCCCTACAACTGTACAACAACTCACCCACTGCACTAGACTATGGAGGGACAGATAATACTCCCTACAACTGTACAACAACTCACCCACTGCACCAGACTACAGAGGGACAGATAATACTCCCTACAACTGTACAACAACTCACCCACTGCACTAGACTATAGAGGGACAGATAATACTCCCTACAACTGTACAACAACTCACCCACTGCACTAGACTATAGAGGGACAGATAATACTCCCTACAACTGTACAACTCACCCACTGCACTAGACTATAGAGGGACAGATAATACTCCCTACAACTGTACAACAACTCACCCACTGCACTAGACTATGGAGGGACAGATAATACTCCCTACAACTGTACAACAACTCACCCACTGCACTAGACTACAGAGGGACAGATAATACTCCCTACAACTGTACAACTCACCCACTGCACTAGACTATAGAGGGACAGATAATACTCCCTACAACTGTACAACAACTCACCCACTGCACTAGACTACAGAGGGACAGATAATACTCCCTACAACTGTACAACAACTCACCCACTGCACTAGACTACAGAGGGACAGATAATACTCCCTACAACTGTACAACAACTCACCCACTGCACTAGACTACAGAGGGACAGATAATACTCCCTACAACTGTACAACAACTCACCCACTGCACTAGACTACAGAGGGACAGATAATACTCCCTACAACTGCACAACAACTCACCCACTGCACCAGACTACAGAGGGACAGATAATACTCCCTACAACTGTACAACAACTCACCCACTGCACTAGACTACAGAGGGACAGATAATACTCCCTACAACTGTACAACAACTCACCCACTGCACCAGACTATAGAGGGACAGATAATACTCCCTACAACTGTACAACAACTCACCCACTGCACCAGACTACAGAGGGACAGATAATACTCCCTACAACTGCACAACAACTCACCCACTGCACCAGACTACAGAGGGACAGATAATACTCCCTACAACTGTACAACAACTCACCCACTGCACTAGACTATAGAGGGACAGATAATACTCCCTACAACTGTACAACAACTCACCCACTGCACCAGACTATAGAGGGACAGATAATACTCCCTACAACTGCACAACAACTCACCCACTGCACCAGACTATAGAGGGACAGATAATACTCCCTACAACTGCACAACAACTCACCCACTGCACCAGACTACAGAGGGACAGATAATACTCCCTACAACTGTACAACAACTCACCCACTGCACCAGACTATAGAGGGACAGATAATACTCCCTACAACTGTACAACAACTCACCCACTGCACTAGACTACAGAGGGACAGATAATACTCCCTACAACTGCACAACAACTCACCCACTGCACCAGACTACAGAGGGACAGATAATACTCCCTACAACTGCACAACAACTCACCCACTGCACTAGACTATAGAGGGACAGATAATACTCCCTACAACTGCAGAACAACTCACCCTTATGTAACAGATAACCCTATGTCCTGTCAATCATCATATATTGTTGCACTGTCTTCGTATGACCTCTTGTATAAAGCTGTGATCTTATATTTTATTACTTATTTCTCTATTTTATTTTGACTTTTATATTGACATATAATTATTTTATTTGACACCTGTCTCTTGCTATCTTTTTTGCAACTTATTTAGAATTTATTTTAATCATTTACATTTTTGCTTTTTGTTATATATTATGTTATGACGTGTACCCTTCTGTGTCCAAATAATTTCCCTTCTGGATCAATAAAGTTTATCTAAGTCTAAGTCAAGTCACAGCTGCGAAGTGAAAACCATTTCAGGAGACTTCATCTTGAAGCTTACTGAGAGAAGACCAAGGGTTTGCAGCGCTGTGTAGTGACGACTGTGAGGATTTGAATATAAGATACACAAATATTTAGTTGACTTATTAACTTTTTTCCCTTTACTACAGATTTTCATATATCTTGTTTCATATATTTGATGTCTTCTATCTGTATCTAAAATGTATAAAGTAGTAAAAATTAAGAAAAACAACCTTGAATGAGCAGGTGTGTCCAAACTCCTCCTGGGACCCGAACAAAAAAAGTGTATTGCGATATTTATTTTTTGTAATTTTCTATCTATTTGGAGGTAAATGAACACCTTAGCATTTAGATTTTGTTCATTTTTATATTTATTTATAATTTTGTAACCTGTCCTCTGTAATGGACGCTGGGGACATTTTGGTGTAAAAAGTTTTTAGACTCCCTTTTAATTCCTTTTTTATTTTTTAATCATAGTGAAGCCACAAACTAAGTCCTATTGAGTTCATTTTGTATCCTGGACATGATTACACCCTGTAATATCCCAGCCCGATTTAGGCAGAGAAACCTAGTCCAACCCCGTTAAGAGTTTATCTCAAAACGCTTTAAAGATCGACTGGTTAACTCAATGTCCACTACAATGGACACAAAGGAACGGGCCGAGTCTCAAGAGGAAATGTGAGCTTTTTAAACTGAAACTGCATACATAAACAGAAACCAGGAAAGAAACAGGAGAGTGAGGGGGTCAAAGGGCAAACCCAGGCATAAAATGAAGAAAAAAAACAAGGCTTATAGCTCCACCTGCTGGACGGATGTAACATGTGACCATTTTTAAGCAGGAAAAAAACAAATATTGTAATAAACACCGGCACAATGACAAGGCAAAAATGAAAATCGTGTTACAAAGATTTGGACTGAATACAGATTAAGAATGTGTGAATTTATTATATGTCCACAAACAATTATCAAATATTAAAAACAAAAACAAGAGGGAAAAATACAGTGTCATTGCGAATACTAAACTTAATTTTGTTTGTGATAGAAGCATTTACCGAAAATGCTGTCTGCGTTATTGTCTGTGTTTATACAAATGAAACGCGATCATATTACACTGTAGTCTGTGTTAGTCTCTGCAGTTTACTCTCGTTTAAAAGGCCCACATTACACAAAATTGATTCTTGCGAGCTTTAACTCTTTCCCCCCTGGACGCCGACTAGGAACAACCCATACATATGTTACTAGGGCTACCCATAGAGCATAATTGCATAAAAGAAAACAGACTTCCACGAGTGATTATAAATTAATTTTACACTCATGAACTTAATTGTAACACAGACATATTTAGTATCTCTGGAAACCTTAGACTCTGAACTCTTCATTTATGGATGTTTAAATGTGATTCAACTCATTTATAGGTGTATAACAGCTCACTGAAAATGAGAGTTTACCTGGTCAGGTGCAAAATCGAAAACAAAAAACTACATTCAGCATTTGATATCTGCATGTTCTGAGTACTATATTCATAAAAAAATTAAAAATATACTTTGTCAAAGTATTTAAACAGATTTCATATCACCAGATACAGTATAGCCAAGTGTGCACCTGTTTTTACCTGTTGCACACCTGTGTAAACCTAATTAATTTTTTTCCATTTAGCTTATTCAACTTATTTAATTTATTCAACTCATTTAGCTTATTCAACTAATTCAGCTTATTATAATATAATAATATCATAATAAAACTCTTCCCCGTCAGTGGGTGTCCAGTATTTGTCATCTTGGCTATTTTCTCGTGCGCAGAGCTCTGCATAAGCGTTTTTTCTGTAGCGATTCTGTTATACATCGCATCTTGGAAAAAAAAGACTGAAATATTTTAAAGGACTCGCCTGGGCAACATCCAGATTTCAGGGCAATTTTGGTTCATAATCGAGTATAAAGCCCGGATAGTTTGTTCGGATATCGCAGGACTCCACACAGACGCATTCTCACCTTCGTAAGTTTCACTCTCTGAGACCTAAACCTCAAAAAGTGTATTCCTACATGTGTGAAATACCCCTGGACTTTATGAACTCTGGCTGAATGAACTCTACTTCCCTTGCTATTATCATTTTCTATTCTTAAATGCACTTTTTTTGTTGTTGTATTATATTGTATTGTTTCTATATGATATGTTGTGTTTATGTTCCCTCATGCCAACATGTAACTGCTGACGACACACAGCCATGTTTGTTATATCAAGTTTATGCACCCAGTTGTGTGTAATAAAAAAAAAAGGAAGTTTCACTCTTTGAAAGTCCGTCGCTATCGCTGTTTTCCACTTTATAATCAACTTCATCATCACTTTGAAATCAATAAAAGTCACTTTCTCTAAACTTATCCATAAAATACATCCGCTCCTCATTATTTCTAAAACTGTGCGCCGCAGCGTCGCGATCTTTCCATTGCACGTGTTTCCTGTTGTGTTTTTTCCGGAAGCTACCATCGTCACTACTTCGATTAACTTCAGAAAAAATCTGCGAAAACATATCCTTGAATCCTATTGGTCAGTCTAGTGTGGGTTGTAGTGGCCCCGACCTATCGCAGCCTCTGTTTAAATGTGAAAAACCGAGCCATTTCTAAAGGTCGTCAAATCACGTCTTTAGTGATACAGCGGAGGTGTCAAAAGTCGTCATTAAGGGAACAGGGGGGTCGTCAAATGTCGTCTTCATGGGAGAAAGAGTTAAGCCATGTTCGAATGCTGTTGCCTCCTCAAAAACAGACCTGGAGTTGTAGTTTTGTTTCATTCACACATGTTTGACTAATGTTTTTTTATTGATCTGTCTACATCTCCAGACGCTCTGTTCCAACTTGTGGTGTCATGAAGCGGATGTTAACAGCTTCTTTTTAACTTTTGTTTAGTAGAGACTGGAAATTTCAGGGCTGAAGTTATCCAAATGATTCTAGTGAAGGTGTGCAGAGTTTAAAAACACAACACTGACATTACGAGGGGCTTTCAGCTTGAGAGAAGAACTCAGCTTAAATATGCAGGATTTGTGTGTTAAACTGTGTATGAAAAAAAAAACAAAAAACCCCAACTCCAGGTCTGTTATTAATGAGGAAACAACATTATAACATACCGTATTTTTTGGACGATAAGTAGCACTGTTTTTCATGGTTTGGGTGTTTCCTATGACTTATATATTAAAACTTTCACACTGAAGCTGTGAGAGGCTCTAGTCTTGTGTGTCAGTATCTGCTGCTCCTGTTCCTCCTGTATCACTGTCACTTCACTCTACTGTGCATGTCTCCTGCAGAAAGAGCCTCTGTCCTTTTCTGTATCGTGTCAGTCGATCGCACCATTACTTCTGTACCACTGAAACTTAAAATTTGAAGGGATAGTTTGGATTTTTTGACATGAATCTGTATGGCATCCCCGTGAGCAGTGTCGTGCATCCACACTGACTTACGCCCGACAGCGTCCGGTGAGCCGAGATACTGGCCGTTTTTGGTGCTGACGAAAGTAGTCCGGCAAGTTGGCTGGGGACTGTATAATAAACCGTTTTTCTTCTCAAAACAATCTGTGTTCAAAAGAGTGATATGTTTGCATGACAAAACCATCGTCGCCTAAAAAGTCAGACCTCACCTGGCGGCAGCGCCCAGTGGTACGAACGGAGAGAAAATAGCGCCAAGCGATTATGAGGTCTGACTTTTTAGGCGACGATGGTTTTGTGATGCAAATGTATCACTCTTCTGAACAGAAATTGTTTTGAGAAGAAAAACGCTTTATTTTACTGTCCCCAGCCAACTTGCCGGACAACTTTCGTCAGCACCGAAAACGGCCAGTATCTCGGTTCACCGGACGCTTTCGGGGGTAAGTCAGTGTTGATGCACGACACTGCTCACGGGGATGACATACTGATTCATGTCAAAAAATCCGAACTATCCCTTTAAACAAACTTATAAGGACGACAGACCGTCCTGTCGGGATTCAGAAAGGCCGGAATAATTCTACCTGGAACTGATGCTGAGTCTGATGACAGCGACACAGAAGACGAAGCGGTGCTCTGTTTGCCTCCGGAGGTCGCGGAGTTGCTCATAAATGAAAACTGCAATTACAGTTCTCGTATTATCAACTATGCTAAAGGTGAACTGAGTAACTTTTGTGGTAGAGGTGATCGCTTCACCATCAACACTCATCTTGTGATGTCATGTGGTAATACAGGAAGTGCTTCACTGTGTTTACGCCGTCACTAGAATCACTCGGATGATCTCAGACCTGGAATTCACAATCTCTACTGAACTAAAGGTAAAAAGGAGCTGCAAACTTGAAAACTGCAGGGTTCCCACTCTTTTTCACTAACAAAATTTCAAAACGTTTTCATCACTTTTTCATGACAGGATGGAGAATTGAATGGATTTAGTGATTTGGAGTGAGATGGAGAGTTTGTTAAACTTGTTCTGTTCTGTTGTTTATGTTATAGTTTATCTGAAGAACTGTTCATATGTGACATTAACAGTCTGTTGTTCTCTGTTCTATTGTTTTTATTATGGTGCGACTTATACTCCGGAGCGACTTATAAAGTAGATCAGAAAATATCGTAACATGAGCCCTTTGACTAAAGTGACTCCAGTATGGACCACTTGTGCCTCTGTAGTCTCTCTGTAGTATAAACCCGTGTGGAAAGGTTAATCTGTCCTAGTCTCGGTCCTGCTCTTACCTTGTACTTGCCCTGGTCACATCCACACAGCGTGCTCTCCATGGTGTAGCTGCGCTGGACGCCGATCTCCCTCCACACCACCACTCGAGCCGTGGACTCTTTGGAGCGCTCCACCACAAAACTGCAGCTGCTCATGCTGAAGGCCGGAGCGATCTGAGACAGGATCTTGGGGAGGGCCTGGAAATGCAAACGCAAACCAATCAGCTCAGAAATATAATAGAAAAACAGAAACACAGTGTTGCTATAAATGAACAAAACAAAAGAAGCTAAATATTTAAACAACACTTGGGGAGGGAATAAGATTTGGCAAGAAAAAAATGCCACAAGATTAATAATAAAAATGTATTTATTTAAAACATGGAGCGCAGATTACATCGACTGTCAAGAGAAAAGATGTGACAGGAAAATGAATGGGTTAAGCGCTGGTAAGTTATATTTTGAGACGGCGTAGCTGTAGTTTAAAAGAGTGGAGCTATAATGACCGCAAAAATAAATAAATAATTAAATAAATAAAAATAATGAGGCCAAAAATTTCAATTACAATTCTTGAGCGAAAAAGAAACTAACAAAGCAAGGTTACAGAAGAATGTAGAAATGAAACAAAACACAACTACTGATATGTTTTTGAGGAACTAAACCAGGTCTAAACCAGAACTAAACCAGAACTAAAATCAGGACTAAAACCAGGTCTAAACCAGGACTAAAATCAGGACTAAAACCAGGTCTAAACCAGGACTAAAAGGATTAAACCAGAACTAAAATCAGGACTAAAACCAGGTCTAAACCAGAACTAAAACCAGGAATAAAACCAGGTCTAAACCAGGTCTAAACCAGAACTAAAATCAGGACTAAAACCAGGTCTAAACCAGGACTAAAATCAGGACTAAAACCAGGTCTAAACCAGGACTAAAAGGATTAAACCAGAACTAAAACCAGGAATAAAACCAGGTCTAAACCAGGTCTAAACCAGAACTAAAATCAGGACTAAAACCAGGTCTAAACCAGGACTAAAATCAGGACTAAAACCAGGTCTAAACCAGGACTAAAAGGATTAAACCAGAACTAAAACCAGGAATAAAACCAGGTCTAAACCAGGACTAAAATCAGGACTAAAACCAGGTCTAAACCAGGACTAAAAGGATTAAACCAGAACTAAAACCAGGAATAAAACCAGGTCTAAACCAGAACTAAAACCAGGAATAAAACCAGGTCTAAACCAGGTGTAAACCAGAACTAAAATCAGGACTAAAACCAGGTCTAAACCAGGACTAAAATCAGGACTAAAACCAGGTCTAAACCAGGACTAAACGGATTAAACCAGAACTAAAACCAGGAATAAAACCAGGTCTAAACCAGGTCTAAACCAGAACTAAACCAGAACTAAAATCAGGACTAAAACCAGGTCTAAACCAGGACTAAAAGGATTAAACCAGAACTAAAACCAGGTCTAAGTCAGGTCTAAATCAGGGCTAAAATCAGGACTAAAACCAGGTCTAAACCAGGTATAAACCAGGTATAAACCAGGACTAAACCAGGACTAAACCAGAACTAAAACCAGGTCTAAACCAGGACTAAACCAGAACTAAAAGCAGGACTAAAATCAGGACTAAAGCAGAACTAAAACCAGGACTAAACCAGGTCTAAACCAGGACTAAACCAGAACTAAAACCAGGACTAAACCAGAACTAAAACCAGAACTAAAACCAGGATTTAGAAAGGACTAAACCATCATGCCACACGGGTTAATTTGAAAACCCCTAATATAGAACATTTATGTATTACTTTCAATAATGTTAAATCCCTATATATCTGTTTTTATTGTTCATAAGGCAAAAAAAATAAAAATAATAACTTGACTTCACACTGTAAAAAGGACAAAAATATGAACTGCTAAACTAACAGAAGAACTGCAGGCATTTCAGAACATATTTGTAGACGTCTAAACTATAGCTTTTACATTTCGCTCTTTGAAATATTCTAATTAATTGCGATTAAGCTTGCAGTTCTATTACCTCTCAAAAGTTCTGTCGCCTGAAGCTATACTATTTTAACTAGGCGCCTGTGCTTTCTCTTCTGATTTTTTTTAACTCTGAAATAAAACTGTGACCTTCGTGGAGTGGTACGAGATACAAATGAGTAAAATCCAATTCCAATGAAGCCTCAAATTCAAGGTAAGTTACAAAAATACCGCAAAAAAGGACATGTTTTCGACGTGTCAGAAGATTGTGAATAAGGCAAATTATAGAGGAAGATTAGATAGACAGCCTCTCTCTGGCGTGTAATTACAGCTATGCAACCAAAATACAACTAGTGAAGTGAATTTTAATTGGCGACCGAGGAAGCCATTTCAAATATTTTAATGAATCCAGGACTGACGTGTTCACCAGAGTCTTAATTAGCGGCTTTGATGACATTTTTTAAATAATATCGACCTCGCTGATGGAGGATAGGAGGTGGAAGATAAGAGGAAAGCAGACCCTGTGTAATGGAGAGGTTTGATAAAGCGTTTTTTAATTGCGCTGACTTAATAGGGAGCGGGGCGGTGTTTATACAACTTATTTTAATTTAGTTTTAAGTATACTTTACGGTCCTCTGCATTTGACCCATCCATCAATGCTGTTAAAGTTAAACCTGTCAGGAGCAGTGTGGACCCATCACCAGATCCTCAGTTGGTCTTGGTCAGGACCGTAGACTGTTTATATAAATGGACATAGATAACTCACGAGTAGGGATGTAACAGTAACTGAAATATCGTGATATCGTATCGTCAGAGTTCTCACAATAATATCGTGTACCATCACGATATATCGGATTACAGGTCTCTTTGCTTAAATTAAGAGATATGGTAGTCGGGCTGGCGCCACCTAGTGCCTCCGCTCGACTAAGTCAGGAATAGGAATACAATAGACGGTTCGCAAAAACCCCGGAAGTCCAAGTTCGGGCACCAGCCAATCAGCAAAGAGTGATATATTCAGTGTTGTTAACGATTCCCGAGATCGAGGATTTAAAGCCGGAACAAAGAGAATGTTTGGTGAATTTCATCAAGGGGAAAGACGTTATTGCCCTTCTTCCTATGGGATTTGGGAAAAGCTTAATATACCAGTATACCAGCCTAATTAGTGGCGCACATTACATACATCACGGCCAAATAGCAGCAATTGGTTAAATGATAAAAAGTATCCTCCTACCGTTGAGCAAGTGAAATGATGATGAAAGATGCAGATGAAAACTAGCCTCTAAAATAATTATTGACCAAACTATGATGAAACATATTAGAGGACATGTTGAGCGTTAGAAGACTGCGAGTAGGATGAGCATGAGAGCTACAGCTCGAGGAGACTGTGAGGTAATCCACTGTTACGGGTCACGGCATGGCTCCGCCTCACCTGGTGCTCCCCGTTTGTTTCACCGCTTGTGCCTTCCATATTTGCATGTCCTGTGTGGTACCTGTCACCTGATTGGTGGGGTGTGGTCCCTTCTCTGTTGGGCTGGCTTCGATGTTCATCGTGCCGTGGTTGGAGGATTGATGTCCTGTTCCTCCAATCCCCTTCCTGATCCGTCAACCTCTATCCAATAAAAGTCCGGTGCGCCTGTTCCTCCTGGCGGCTAGATTTCAGTATCAGCTCACCACACTCCGTGATTGACGTGTCTCTTGTTGGCTCCTGTTTGCCAAGATTGACTTGTGTATTTGTGACACTAGAAATTGTTATTGGTTGTTATCGCTTTTGTAACTGACTCAGCCCTTGGGCATTTGTATTTTTATTTATTTAGCCTTATCTATTTAGAATACTGTTTAGCTGTATTGAGAATCCTGATTTATTAATTTTATGTAAAACCTTCATTTTTTGTGTTATTGTTAGAGGTGTAACGATCTCCAAGTCTCACGATACGATATTGTCAAGGTATGAACCTCACGGTACAATATTTATTGCAATATTGTGGGAAAACTCACGATATAGTGAGGAGGCTCACAATTATGTAACAATATCCAAATCTCTCGATACGATATTTTCACGATATACATCTCACGGTACAATATTTATTGCAATATTTTGTGGAGGTTAACAAAATTGTTAATATGTGACTTTTTCCTCTTAAAATGCCTTGACAAGACTTAATCCAAAGAACTAAGACTTAAAAGTGCTTAGAACTGTTATTTCTTCTTGTAGTCTGCACTGAAATGGAGCAAAGGATCATGGTCTATGTAGTTCCCTCTGTCTTTTTTTTAGCTATTGCTGCACCATAACTCTTAATTTAACCAAAGACACTTGTAATTCAATATAATGTGATGGTCCACGATATTATTATGAGAACTCTGACGATAAGATATCACGTTATTTGGGTTATTGTTACATCCCTAGTTATTGTACTTACTTTATAAAAGCCACTTACTTTACTTTACATCACATCTTGTTTGTGTTACTTGGTTTGTGACACCTGCAGACGCACCACATTTGGACAAACTGTGCTGTCAGTCAAAGGGACTTCCTCTGACAATAATATAAAGTCCATCTCTACATTCAAACTGCACCTTAAACTGTGAATGAAGGAAAACCAAGTCTGTGAACACTTTTAAACGAGCCTTTTATTGTTCGGCGTTATGCTTGTGTAACTGTTTTGTATTTTGTATTTGTTCTCTGCATCATCTGTCTATAGGGACAACAGATGGAAATTTGCTTTTCTGCTATAATCTCATATTTATATTTATATTTACACTGCAGTTACAGATGTTCATTAATATGCACTGTATAAATCAAATAAATGAAGGTGTTTGGAGCTCACCCTGTACGCGATGTCCTCCTGTAGATCACTGGACGTAGCGCTGATGTTGGACTGCCACACGGTCTCCTTCACACTGCAGCCGTACATAAAAACATTCTTCTTCCTCGAATGGCCGTGATAGTCACAAAAGACCTGAACACAAAAGAAGGACATGACAGAGAAATAGATTTGCAGAAAGCACACAAGGTCGGGTTAAAATGTAAAGTTGAAATGTGGGAGCAGATCTGTACACTGTAAGGTTTCTTGGGTTCAAGTTGCATCGTAAGTCTCTTTTAAAGGTCCCATATTACACAAAATGGAAAAATCTTGTGACCTTTAAGCCTTGTTACAATGTTCTTGTACCTGCAGTTGTGTTTTCTTTCTTTCACACATGTTTGAGTAGCTCTTTATTAAAAGTCTGCCTACATCTGTAAAGCTCAGATGCTTTTATTTTTTTGTTCAGTAGAGATTGGCAGCTCTAGGGCTGAAGTCATCCAAATGATTCCAGTGAAGGTGTACAGAGTTTAAAAACACAATGGGGCACTTGTATTACCACATGACATTACAAGGTGCTGGAGTGTTTTCAGTTTGGGAGAAGAACTCAGACTAAATAAGCAGAGTTTGTGTGTTCAACATGTGGGAATGAAACAAAACACAACTCCAGGTCTGTTTGTGATGAAGAAACTACATTATGACAGAGCTCACATGTAATATAGACCCTTTAAAGATGACATAAGTAACTTTCCTGTCAGCCGCTTGTCACCATGGAGACATGTTTGGCTGGAAAGTTCCACAGTATGACATAAAACTTTTCTACAAGATGACATGCAGGTCAGATCTGTGGAGAGGTGAGCCTACTGACAGTCTTACCGTAATTTCCGGACTATTGAGCGCACCTGAATATAAGACGCATCAACAAAATTTTAAACTTGTACATATATAGGCCGCACCTGAATACATAAGCCGCAAGTGTCCACGTCTTCAAGAACGTTTTCATGTTCAGGCCGTCTGCTTTTATCGCCTCTGAAAGCTTTTGTCGTCTTTTTGCATTGAGTCGGTTCATCATGCCGCCGCCAACGTCTCACATTCGACTCAGTGACGCCGAGCTCACGTGCAGCAGCTCTGTTTCCTTCTTCCACAGTCACATCAATCGCTGTTAACTTAAAAGCTGCATCATTTGCATTTCTTCGCGTGTTTTCCATGAGGAGGGTGTGTGTATGAAGCGCAAAATAACTGTTCAAAACACAGTCAAACGAGCATCTTCCTTGGTGCATCACCCCTGCGCATGTCTCCTGCAGAAAGAGTCTCTGTTCTGTCTGTATCATGTCAGTGTCTCGTAGGATTTCAGCAGATTTCAGACTCTCTCGGGAGCGGGGTTAGTTGTATCAATCAGGTATAAGTGGATGTCCGGCTACTGAAGTTTGAGACGTTTCTTTCTTGTCATTAGTGCTCCCACCTGCATTTAACGCATCCGGGCAAGAAGTATCGCACTCACTAATGTTCATTTAGCATCATAACTTTTTTCTACACTCAGGCTGCGTGTATCTGCTGTGTTGTCAAACCGTAGACCGTATATATGAATGGACAATGTGCCAAACAAATAATCTGTCCATATATTCACCGTATCGTTGTATAAACCGCAGAGTTCAAAGTGTGAGAAAAAAGTAGCATCTTATAGTCCGGAAATTACGGTACTTTACTATGGTATTTATCGTGGAATTGGATAAATGCAAGTAAAAGTGTAATGTCATAGTGTAGAACAATCTCCATGGAGACAAGAAGGCAATGGACACCCTGTTAGAAAAGTTACATATTGTGTCTTTAAATCGTGTGTAGCTATTGTGATGCATATTATGGCAAACACCTATATTAAAAGGAGATTTTTTTTAGGGCCTAGATCACAATTTCAGCTTTTTAAAAGCCAAGAGAATTACAGAGAGCAGATAAGGTCGGGTTAAATATGTTCTCAGGATAAAATGTTAAGTGAGGTGGCAGATCAGAACACCCGGGCTTATTTGATTAGATGTAGCAGTTCATCAGACAAACCTTTTCATTGGAGAAGTGAAATAAGGCTTGTGTTCCTCGGATACAGATAATGATTCAGGGAAAAAAATGCTTTGCTTTACTTTGATTTGCTCAGGGCTCAGAGCTCTGTGGTAACTAATGACCACAATACCTAGAATTGTATTAAAATCTGTTTCTGTTATTAAACATTTTGCAGGATTTGAAGTTTAAAATGTGTTTTTTTTTGGTACTGAAACCACATTTAAAAAGTAAAATTCTGCATCATGGACTACTAAATGGTCACAATTTTATACAGCGCTTTTCCACCTTCAAGATTCAAAGCTCTTTACATCAAGGAACCGCTCATTCATTCACACACAGTCACACACCAGTGTACACAGACAAGGGGGCCAGGGAGGTTAAGTGTCTTGCCCAAGGACACAATGACAGCATTTATCTGTGGGAGCTGGATCCAAACAATCTACCAATGTCTATGTCGAGAGGGGGGATTCGAACCAGCAATATATTCAGATCCTTCGGAGGATAAACAGGGTCAGTCAATATGAAATAAGGAGTTTTCAAGGAATCTCCCCTATGAGCCATCTCAGATTTGGCTGAAAAAAAATTCCAAAAAAATTCTAAAATTACCAAATGAAAGAATCAAAAAATTTACCTCAATCCCTTCAGTCGTTCCTGAGTCGCCCGTTGAAATTTTGGAGCTATGCCCACTTTTTCGGAAGCCTTAATTTATAAGCATTTTTGAGAGACCATAACTTCATACAAAATTGAGCTAGGAAGCTAAACATTTGTATTATTGTAGATTCTTGGTCATAGATTCTGAATCTGTCGTCAAATATTGGGTATCTTTATTAAGGGGAGCACTGTGGGACCCCAAACTCTCACATTTGGTTGCTGCTCAATTTTTTTTGAGGTCCAAGATCTATTTACTCCAAGCAGATATTTACAAATTAACTGTTGAACCTGAATATTTGAGAGAATGATTATTTCTGACAACAACCTCACACTTTTCTGAGTTTTCATGTGGACGGTGTAGAGCCCCAAATATGGGACGTGGGCACAGTTAGAAATTGATCAAGTTTTTACCAGAGAAACTTTGGCATATTCTGATTAGTTTAAAGTAATAAAAACATCTACTATTAACTTCCTTCATTTCAAACTGAATTTTTGAGAATGAGCTCTCACAGGTCATTTCTGGAGGAGCTTAGGTACTTTTCCACCTGCTAGAAATGTGTGAGGAATCCCTCAGTCGTCCAGGTAGAATCCATGAAGAGAAAATTCAGTTTGTCGACTGGACAAAAGTTAGTTTGGTTGAAGACGTTTCGCAGCTCATCCAAGCTGCTTCTTCAGTTCTGGTCAGACGCTGGTGGACACTTCCTTATATCTGCAGGGAGGAGTTAACTACACTGAAACTAACACACCTACTTGTTTACAGTTTCTGTTTGTTAGTTCGGCCTGTTGACCTGTACAGGGTGTGGGGTCTAATTAGCAGAACAATTCATGGCCATAATGGGGCTTCCACACCTCTGGACCTGACCTGGCTACACCTGTTGTTCTATTGTTTGTTTTAATTTAGGTTTGAGGATGGAGTTGTAAACAGGAGATAAATGGTGTCTGAAGCCTCCATTTCTGTTTAGAGAAGGATCCTCTTTCTTAACAAAATTTTTCTCACCTGCTAGAAAAATGTAATTATGTTTAATAGACTTAAACACTAATTGCTTGTTATAAGGGAAGACAGTTGGAGATTATTTGAGGTACATTGCTTGTGATGGTTTTGGAGGCACAGTAAAACGCAGCTGATAGCAATTAAATATTGACTGCACTCCAGATGTTTGAGTGGACTCGATTACCGTTTTTGGCTGTATATTTCGCTACTTGCAGTTTGTAAACTGCAAAATATGATTTTCTTTTTGAGGGCATTTGTGTTCAGTCTTCTCAGTCGTCTTTATAAGTTTGTTTAAATTTTAAGTTTTCAGTGGTTCAGAAGTAATGTTGCGATCGACTGACACGATACAGACAGGACAGAGGCTCTTTCTGCAGGAGACATGTGCAGTAGAGCCAAGTGACAGTGGGAGCAGCAGATACTGACACACAAGACTAGAGCCTCTCACAGCTTTCAGTGTGAACATTTTTAATATATAAGTCACACCAGAGTATAAGTCACAGGAAACACCCAAACCATGAAAAAATTGTGACTTATAATCCGAAAAATACGGTAAATGTTTTGCATATCTCCAAAACAACATTCACCATTTTATCCATAATATCATTAGGATAATAGTCTAAACAGTGCATATGGTCGCTCCTTGTGGGAAACATATACAGAAAATAGCTGCGCACTCCTCCGATGCACTGCCTGGTTAAAACCTCCCAAACAATAAAGCCTATAGTCCCATTATAGACTGTAGAGCCCTACTGAGACCGCCGCTGATGAGAACTGCATTATGCCTAAAACTACTGGGGAGGTATTGATCGCTGTTTAGTGTAGTGTAGCCAAACAGAGTGAAGAGGCCATAAACCGTGCAAGGAAAAGCTGTGTAATCGCTCGTACCATTGGCGCCCTCTGTATGTGAGCCAGGTACTGCAGCAGGCTCTTGGTGTGGTAGATGGTGGGGTGGAGGTCGGGGTTGGGGTTTTGCCACTGGCGGTTCAGATCTTCTCCACTCAAAGAACAGCGGTGGCTAAAACAGAAAATACAAGCAGAATGAAGAAGGGACTATTAGCTTAAAGGTGTAATATGTAACTTTTCGGTTGGTGGTTTGTCACCTTCCTGATTCTATGGAAATGTCACTGCTCTGCCTGGAATGTTCCACAGTATGACATTAAACAGCTCTATGTTACATTTATTCAATTACAGGTGGTTTTATAGCACAAAAATATCAAGAAAACAAGACATTCTAACTGTGAGGGGGGTTGTGTGTAAAATCCCTCAGTCGTTCAGGTGGTACCTAGTCAGGCTGGCGCCACATAGTGCCTCTGCTCAATTTAATTCCTTTTCAGCAACTAGGTCAGGAATCGGAATACACTTGACGGTTTACAAGAAGCTTGGAAGTTGTAGACCGCACACCGGCCAATCAGCGAAGAGGTGTGAAGCCATGACTTCAAACTCAAGTGCTTGTCTGTGTCCCTTTTGTGTTACAGCACAACAGTAAACAAAGCGTCGAGATGGATGTAGACAAAGACAGACATTCTGTGTTGGCAACGATTCCTGAGATCGAGGATTTAAAGCCGGAACAAAGAGAATGTTTGGTGAATTTTAACAAGGGTTATTGCCCTTCTTCCTACAGGATTTGGAGCATTACATACGTCACGACCAAATAGCAGCGACTGGTTAAATAAAAAAAGTACCGGCCTACTGTCGATCGAATGAATCCTAACGTTGCGAGATCAGACGATTTCCACAAAGTGAAACCGGCTGATGAATCAGACTAGTTGGTATTCATGGCAAAAGGAGAAATTCAATATGTCAACAGGACAAAAGTTTATTTTGGTTGAATACGTTTTGCAGCTCATCCATCCTGACCAGAACTAAAGAAACAGCTTGGATGAGCTGCGAAACATACTTTTGTCCAATCGACAAATTAAATTTCTCCTTTTGCCATGTGAGCGGGGTTGCCTCTCCACAGATCTGACCTGTAACTTGACCCTGTTTAGCCTCTATGATTATAGAAAGGTTTAATGCCATATTGTGAAACATTCCAGACAAAGCAATAACATCGGAGTGTGGATACCTGTTAGATCAATCACACTGTTCCTCATTTGCAGATCTCCTAGTACACACACACACGCACACACACACACACACACACACACACGCACACACGCACACACACACACACACACACACGCACACACACACACACACGCACACACGCACACACACACACACACACACACACACACATATTAAATCTGGCATCGGTCACTCACTTCCCGTTGACCACTCCGTCGGGGTTGAGCATGGGCACGATCTTAAAGATGTAGGACTCCCGGAGGCTGTTGGCCAAAGGACTGGAGCTCATGAGGAACTCCAGGCTGCCCTTCATCACCCAGCTGGCATTGGTCTCCCCTGGGTGCACCCGGGCAGACAGGAAGATCAGAGGCCGGTTTCCTGAACAAACACAAGAAGGGGGCAGGTTACAGACACGTGAAGATTTCATTTAAAGGTGCGCTATGGAACTTTTTGGTTGGAGGTGCCATTGCTCTGCCTGGAATGTTCCTCAGTATGATATTAAACAGATTTACTTTACATTTATTCAATTATAGGTGGTTTTACGGCTCAAAAATACCTAGAAAAACAGGTATTCTGACTGTGAGCGGGGTCGCCTTTCCACAGATCTGACTTGTAACTTCGTCTGGTTTGGTCTCCATGAAGATAGAAAGATTTAATATCAGGGCCTGTTTACACAAGAACACTTGCGGGTAAAAACGACAAAATATTTTATCGGAAGTGCGTTTCTCAATACCAATTTTGAGATAATATTGGACTTTTCAACAGTTATGTGATTTTTTTTCAGTGTCGGTACTTGCTTAAATGAGTATATAGTTTCGATATTTGTTTTAGTATCGATTAATATCTGATTTTTGATACTTTTTGACACCCCTAGACTGGTTTTGGTTGTGAACTCAGGGCTTGTTTACACAAGAACGCTTGCGGGTAAAAACAACAAAATATTTGATCGTTTAGATGGCGTTTTTGGGGCTTAAAAACGCAAAAATCTGAAACCACCCTCCAGAGTGGAAAAGTTGAATATGCTCCGCCGTAGCGTTTTCGTCTACACTGCCCAAGACGCAAAACTCTGGTCAGATCTGCTCAGGTCACATACACGTTTAACGTCACATACATCACCACCTAGATCGAATTCCACACACTTTTGCGTCACCGTATGCACGCGGATTTCCTCCTGAAAACACTTGTCTAAACGCAGAATAAAAAGTGAAGATGCGACGCCACTTTTGCGTCTTCTGTTCAGACAGTCATGTAAACGTAGCCTCATTCTGCGCTCAAAATGTTCCAGACAAAGCAATAACATTTCCATGGAGTAACACTTTTGATGGACCCTCCATCACAAAAAGTACCCCCAACAGAAAAATTACACAATACACCTTTAATGAGCAGTACATCATTTTGGCCAATTTTAAGGCTGCTACAAATTTTTCTTGTATTTTGAAATTAATGATATATTATACAAGTGCAAATATTTGTCAGTGGTCAAACTATTTCCAAAACTATTGCAGTCACATAGAGTTATCTAAGTTCAGTGAATTCATATTTGTCCTTACTGATTATCTATTTGGTTTGCTCCATAGACCGTATCTATGAATGGCCTTAGCTAATGCTCTCGCTGCTGCGTTCCAAATAAGCAGTTCTGACCCTGGCTCTTTGGTCTTAAAATGTTCGTATTAACCTGCTCTACAAGATCCTGCATTTTTCATTTCACTATTTTATCCCTAAATCAAGATATGAACATAAATAATGGACCAATCAGATGCCTTCATTTTCCGAGGTCCAAATAAATTCCCTTGTGGATCAGTAAAGCTTGTCTAAGTCTAAGTCTAAGTAAAGATGGTGGAACCTCAAGTGGAAATATTACGCAGTGTGCCTTTAAAGTCTCCAGAAAAGGGAGCCCCGCTCTCAAAAATACAAACCCCGACAGTAAGTTTTCATTCAAATATTTTTCATGTAAATCCCTCCTGGCTCTTACTGAATTGGCAGATGTGGTCGTTGGAGTTGGACTCGGGCATGGCAGTGATGGTGAGGAGGGGGCAGCTGTTTCCTCCCAGACTCTGACACAGGACGTCCTGCCTCAGGTAAATCTGAGGAGTCCTGAGGGCCTCCAGCTTAGACAGGTGCATCTGAGGGACAAACACAGGGACTGAGGGCTGTGCAAAAACATTCAATTATCAATATATCATGATGCTAAATTTGGTGATACAGTATTGTTTCCATGGGCTGCTGAATCAATATATCACCATATTTTAGCTTTTTTTTATTTGTGTGACCGCACTACAATTGTGTTGCTTATTTAGTGGAAGGAAACTTGTTTATTCAGTACACAAACACAGTGATACTCACCAATTTATTCACAAGAGCCACATTGGAAGAGCAAAATCAAGAGGAGAGACACTTATACCCAAATTAATGCAGCTTTGACACATTTGTTTATGTCTTACAGAAACGAAACTTGACTAATTTGTATAAAATTAAAAAAACTGTAAGCCTGAAAAAAAAACAGCTTCCCGTGTGCAATGATGTGGTTCAGCTTCTGTTGGACTAAAGGACACGACTCAGTGGAATATGAGTGTTCTTTCTGTGATAGAGGTGTTTTGATGATGATGATGGTGAGTGTGTTCTGTGTTTGTCGTGTTGGAGATGGTTCATGTTTTCAGAGATCAAACGTGTGCAGGTTTAGAGGAGCTCTTTACTTAATTTCACTCACTTTATTTATGTTGCTCACTTTATTTCAGTGATATTAATCAAGAGTATGGGCCACTTTTTAAAATGTGGGTCAGGCAGCAGGTCGGGTACAATAATTTCAAGTATTTTTTTGCGGTTGGAGTTGCGGATGGATTAGTTGAAAACGTCGGTCGGGTTCGGGTCATTTATACATGGACCCGCGCTTATCACTGGTTGCTGGTGTCACGGCGCCCCCTTTAGGAAACACCATGAATTAAGCCTTTATTTATACTTAGTGTAATGCAGATGTTTGTGTTGCAACGTTCACTATATGTTTATCTTCACATTTGAAAAATATATTGGCTGTGTTACTGTTTTTAGTTTAAGCTTGCAAACTACAAATTAAAGTTTGTTGAGCCGCATGTGGTTTGCGAGCTGCGCAATAAGTATCCCTGCACCAACATATAGTATAATGTCACTGTTTTGATGACTAAAAGGTGTATTTCATTTTAACTTTGCAGCTAGTGAAATACTGTTGTTCAGATGTATTTGGTTCTTAAAAAACAGCAGCGATTATCAACAATATTGTCATGGTTCATGTTTTGTAGTGGTTGTAGTTTGTGTTTTATTTTGACATTTGTCCTGTCACTTTGTATTTTTGAGTTTTACTTCCTGTCTTGATTGTTTGCCCCGCCCTAATGTGTTTCACCTGTGTCTATGTGTGTGCATTTATACCCAGTGTTCTCCTCTGCCCTTTGTTGGTCCATTGTCTCTGTCTGAGTTTCTCTGTGTCTCTTATCATGGCAATTTAGTCTTGAGTTCTGGATTTTTTTGTTTTGTCATTAAATATTTTGAAGCAGTCCTGCGTTTTGGGTCCTTCCTCTGTTTCCACGTGACAAATATCGTGATATCGTATTGTGAGCCGTGTATCGAGTATCACATCGTGAGGGAAGTAATCAGGTAATTGATAGTCATAACTATACAATGCCACAATTTAATCTTAAAAAGGGAGTATTACACTTCTGTGGGGTATTAACTGGGATCCCATAATATATTTTGTTTATGTTACCTTTTATTGTTTTGAAAATGCTATACTCGCCAAAAACAACACATTAAAGGTTGTATAGAGGATTTTTTTAAGGGAAGAGAAATACAGCGACAGTCCTTGTGCGCAGTTCAAAATTACTGTTGAAGTGACCTGTCTAGAAGTAATTCAGCGACCGACGCGTCAGTTTTTAGACCCTTCGTCTGCTTCGGTCGCGCCATCGCTGGACGAGATCTCCAAGAATCACCTCAGTTTGGCTTTGCTCCTTTTCCTCTTCTCTTCTTCTTTCAGCGACCTCAAAAACTGAACTTTCTTTTGCGGCGAAACTGGTCGTGGATTCTCATCCGCCGTCGCGACAAACTTTGTGCGAAATGCGAGGAAGCGACAGTTCGAAAAAGCCTCTAAGAACCGCTGCGTAAACCACGTAATCCCCGCGCTCCGACGAGTCAGTTATACTAGGGAGTTTGATTGACAACCTAACAGCCAATAGAAAATGAGGGAGCCTCGTTTTCTATTGGCTGATGTTTATCTGGCCTCAACACGTCCACAGTTGATAGATTTTCGTTCTTTTTTTTTGGTCATCATAATTACAAAGCTGCTGCGTCTCTGTAATGGTATTTTAATCTTTCACTGACAGTTTGAAACTAAAAAAAATCCTCCCATACAACCTTTAACATGTTTTATATAAGTGTCAGTTTAATTTTTTAATGCTCTAAGTCTAATCCCACTGACAAAGCTACTGCACATCGCATCAGGTTTGTGAAGTCGTAGTGTACAGTTTTGCATCATGTTTTTGTATATTTACGGAGGATTTTTGAGATTGATAAATTACTGAAACATGCATGGAATGACATCTAAAACCTCTTAAAGCATGTTTTTGATGAGTGAACAATGTTATAAAATTATATAACGTTAAATGTAAAAGCTTAAATATACCAGACGAATGTGAAATGTCTGAATCATTACCCAAAAAATGATTACTTTGTACCCTTATTTCTTCTTTTATTTTTAATCAGCTAATTTTGCAGCTTTTTAAAAAATTATAAACAGCGTTCGAGTAGAGCGCTGCGAGATTTTGTATTAAAAATAACAATTTAACCAACTGTAATTGTAATACGTGACAGAACAATTGCTTTTTCGATAGTTTTCCAAAAGTGTTCAGCCTTCCTCGCTTTTCAATTACCAAAATAAACCAAAATACATTTCGTTCTTCTATGGCTCAGTACGATGGCCCAGATCTCTTGTTGAACACCACTGTAATTATGACGACTCAGTGTGAAAAACAATTTGACAAAACTTCAAATCATTTCACGAGACACCTGCATCTGTACTGCGGCGGGGGAATATGGGACTGTAAATGAGAGCTAATCACTGCAGTAGATTCAATGGAGCGTTCATTTGAGCTAATTTCACAGAATTGGCTGTTTTGAACGATAACAGAATAATAAAGCGCGGAGAGAATTACCTTGAGAGTGGAGTACGTGTACGGGTAGTGATAGGCGAAATAACACACGTCGTCCTTGTGTTTGAAGTTGATACTGAAGGTCAGCGTGTAATAGGACTTTCCTTTCTGGCCCCCGGCGGCTATAGAACTTCTGGCAAAATGATTTCTGTGGAACAAGAATTAACATCATCAGAACCTTACCACAATTAGTTCTTTAAATATTTTATCATTTATTATGGAAGTAAAAAAAAAAAAGTTCTTCTGGCTAGGGTATAGACTGTAGATAAATGGACATAACTAACCCACGAAAATTGTCACCTCTCTCTCTCCGTAACTGCTGCTGTGAGCCGCGTTATTTTGGTCTTAAAATGTCCGTATTAACTCCCCATACATGAGTGGTCCCCAACCTTTTTTGCTTCATGGACCGGGGGGATATTTCATGGATTGGGAGGATATTTCATGGATCGGGGGGATATTTCAGGGATCGAGGGAGAGCACTCTTTTTCACGGACCGGTGGCGTACAGAAGGAGAGGTTTAGTCCTGGTTAAATCCTGCTTGAGTCCTGTTTTAGTCCCGGTTTTAGTCCCAGTTTTAGACCTGTTTTAGACCTGGTTTAGACCTGATTTTAATCCTAGTTTTAGTTCTGTTTTAGTCCTGGTTTTAGTTCTGGTTTAGAAGCACGGAAGATGCGGCATCTGTGAGAAGATGCAGTGCATGCAGCGCACTGGAGGAGGCACGGTCCATGCGGCGTATGGGATTGGGGGTTCGCGCTTTCATGGCCCAGTACCAAACGACCCACGGTCCGGTACTGGTCCATGGCCAGGGGGTTGGGGACCCCTGCTCTACAAGATACTGGTGTTTTTATTTTGCTATTTTGTCAGTAAATAAATTCCTATTGTAAAAACTCCAAATGCACCCTCACGTCACACTCCCTGTGTACACTTCTTTATACAGTTTATAGGCTAGGGCCGTAGACTGTATATATGAGTGGACATACCTAACGAGCTAGAAGCTGCATGCCAAATAGGAAGTTCTCCAGGAGGCTCTTTCGACTCCTTCTGACCCTGACTCCATTTGACTTACATTAGGTTCTTGTGGCTCCTCCCTCTGTACCTGCTGCTGTCAGCCTCGTCATTTTGGTCTTAAAATGTTCGTATTGACCCAGTGTACATGATCCTGAATTTTATTTTTTGCCATTTTGTCCATCAAAAAAATCCTCTTTATTTCATAGAGCCTGGCTCCAGATTCGCTCCTATAACCGTGAGCACCACGAGCCTCATTTGAGCGGCGCTGAATGCTTTGGGTGATTTCACACTCGCTTAGTCCACTTCTTTTATACAGTCTATGGCTGTGCAATGGAGTTCTGGAGTTCAGGAAGTACATTTTACATACATTTTTGCTATACACTTTGAAAAATCACACTCTTAAAGGTCCTATATTACACAAAATTGACTCTGAGTTTTGTCATGTTATTATGTTATCTATTCAAAAACATACCTAGAGTTGTGTTTTGTTTCACTGACATGTATGAGTAATCCTGTATTATCAGTCTGTCGACATCTCTAAAGCCCATAATGCTCTATTCCACCTTGTAAGGTCATGTAGTGGTAGTTTTCAAGTTAACAGCTAATTCCAGGTGCTGAAATTATCCAAATGATTCTAGTGAAGGTGTATGGTGTTTAAAAACACAGTGGAGCACTTCCTGTATTACCAAAAAAAAGTGTGTTTTCTGTTTGAAAGGAGAACTGAGCCTAAATTTGCAGAATTTTGTGTTTAAAAAATGTGCGAATGAAACAAAACAAAACTCCAGATATGTTTTTGGTGAGGAAACAATATTATAACAGATCATAAAACAGTGTAATATGGGCCCTTTAAAAGCATAACAGAGTCTAACCAGCTGTGTGGTAAGTAACTAATGTCTCTAATGTGGTTGTTTTCAGTCCAAGGAACTTAGTTAAAACCTTAAACTCAGCATAACTTAGAAATAGACTTTTAAAAAACTGTAGATGTTGTGGTCATTAGTTACCACAAAGCTGATTAGCCCTGAGCAACAAGCTTTTAAACTTTTAATAATATGTATTTTTTGAAAGGCTCTGAGAAAAATGAATGGGGAATTTATTTCTGGAACCAAGTGCTCAGTGCAAAAGATTTATTTCACTTTGTCTTTTCAAAAACATAAAAATGGCACTCGGTATTGATTTTCAACGTAAACACAACAGCCATTTAACAGAAATATTGGCTGTGGACTGAAGCTGATCGCTGACCATTAGACATGACAGAATCTCAACCTCTGTTAAAACTTGATTAATCACCCAGCCCTTTCTGTAAAACAAAAATTCCAGTGTTAAATGCATCATCTGTCTCCTGAGGTGTGGAGAACTCACTTGTAGTAACAGATGTCGGTTCCTGTTCGGACCCAGCGAGGACTTCCACTGATGGCCTCCTGGACCGAGTACATGAGAACCTGCATCCCTGCAAGAGAGAAGACACAAAACAGCTTTCTTTATCATTAACGATACAGCCGGTTTTCAGATTTTGCATATCATCTGAACAACATTCACAATCTATTTTTCAAGAATCTGCCCACACAGGTACTCATCAATGATCCCTCATGAGGAAAATTCATTCTTTGCATTGACCCATCCTTCAACCAGTGTCTCGTCCAGGGACCCCTCTTCAGATCTTGAGATAGTCTTGGTCAGAACTACCTAGACCAGACAACTCAAACTCAGGCCCGTGGGCCAAATTGGGCATTACATTTGGCCTGCGAAATCATATCAAATATGTATTAGAGCTGGCCCGTCGGCTACAGATAGACTATAGAGACATTATTTAATTAAAATTGTGTTATTATCTTATATTGTGTTTGTTTTGGATTCAATGTTTAAGCAAAATTATTATTAAACATTTATTTTAAGAAGAAAAGGTTTCACATTGCATATCTCCAAAGAAGAGAAAAATACAAATGCTGAAAATTTTCAATAAATATTTAGTTTGTCCCACGACTTAGTCCCAGTTTTTACTTTTGGCCTCTGTGAATTTGAGTTTGACACCCCTGACCTAGAGGATTTGACTTATTGATATTTTGCAGCTGAAGTTAAACATTATTCTGTCTGAAGTTGTGTTTCTCAAGTCAGACTTTAATCTGAGTTTTATTTTAACACAATCAAAGAGTTTAGTTGGAACTACAACAGGTCTCACACACTTAAAATTACAGTCACAAGCTGGGAAGCATTAGAAAACAGTTTTTCAGTTTGTCACTCTCACCTTTTTGTTGAAAATCAAACTCCTAAACAGGACCATGAAACTCATATTGATTATGCATTTTGTATTTTTTTCGTGAGTTTTCAGACTGTTTTAAAATAATTTTGATAGTTATTGTTAAAGTGTGCACTGTGTCACCATGTTAACTGATAAACATTCTTTAACAATGAAAAAATGCATAGCACACTCAGATCTAGGGGAGTGCAAAAATATTGAAATATCGATATATCGTATCGTTTAGTGTGATGATACAGTATCGATATCGTGGGCTGCTGTATCGAATATATCACCAAGAGTATTTTTTGGTATATTTTACTAAATTATTTTACATCTACAGTTTTGTTGTTTGTTTAGAGAAAGGAAACTCGTTTATGTGATACATTTGACATTTTCACTGTTTTGATGTTTAAAATGAACGTGTTTCATATTAAATTTGCACAAGAAGTGGTTTAATAAAGACTTTTAGTATCACAGCCATTATTTTTATTGAAGTATATCGAATCAGTTTGAAATATATTGAATCACATTGAATCAAAAGCTCACTGTATCGAGGTATGTATCGTATCAACAACTTCTGAATGATACCTACGCCTACTCAGATTTTTTTCTATTTTTAAATCATGTAAAAAAATAAAAAGCCTTCATCAGATTATTTTTCTTACTTTGGACCAATTTATGACTGATAAACATTCCACTAATAAAGGTACATGTAAAACACCCCCAGCGCGAGTATCAGTTGTGCGTGTTTTGGTTTGATGGGGGAAACTGCAGTACTCCACAACTCCACACAGAAACTCAGAACCTTCTTGCTGTGAGGTCATGTGCTTTTATTGCGCACTCGTTCCTTGTTCCTCACCGTAGTTGAACTGGCTGTTGGACTTCTCAGAGTTGATGATGTTGAAGCGGTAGGTGGCGCCGACCTTCATGCCGCTCACCTCGAAGTAAAACCACTGGTGATAGTGGTTACTGTTGATGTCCGAGTTCAGAACCAGGTCGTACTCAAACCTAAGGGAGGAAATTACTATGGGGTTACAGGTGACACTTTATAATAACTACACTATTTAAAGGTGCATTGGGTCCGTCACCTGCTTTTTTTCTATGGATATATATCATTGCCCTGCCTGGAATGTTCCACAGTGTGACATTAAAGGTTGTATGGAGGATTTTTTGTTTTGTTTGTTTGTTTGTTTCAAATTGTCAATGAAAGTTTAAAATACCATTACAGAGATGCAGCAGCTTTGTAATTATGATGATAAAAAAAAAAAGAAAGAAAATCCATCAACTGTGGACGTGTTGAGGCCAGATAAACATCAGCCAATAGAAAACGAGACTCCCTCATTTTCTATTGGCTGTTAGGTTGTCAATCAAATTCCCTAGTGTAAGTGACTCGCCGGCGCTTGGGGATTATGTGGTTTATGTAGCGGTTCTTAGAGGCTTTTTTAAACTGTCGCTTCCTCGCATTTCGCGCAAAGCTTGTTGAGACGGCGGATGAGAATCCACGACCAGTTCGCCGCAAAAGAAAGTCCGTTTTTGAGGTCGCTAAAAGAAAAAGAGAAGGGGAAAAGGAGCGAAGACAAACTGAGGTGATTCTTGGAGATTCCTTCCACCGATGGTGCGACTGAAGCAGACGAAGGGTCTAAAAACTGACGCGTCGGTCAATAAATTACCTCTAGACAGGAAACTTCAACAGTGATTCTGAACGCGCACAAGGACTCTCGCTGTATTTCTCTTCCCTTAAAAAAATCCTCTATACAACCTTTAAACAGCTCTACCTTACATTTATTCAATTACAGGTGGTTTCATAGCTCAAAAATACCAAGAAAATCAGGTTTTATTATTTTGAGCGGGGTCGCCTCTCCACAAATCTGACCCGTAACTTGGTCAGGTTTGATCTCCATGAAGATAGAAAGGTTTAAGACCATACGGTGAAACATTTCAGACAAAGCTATAACATCTCCTTGGAGAAAAGCATTTGAAGGACCCTCCACCTTTAAGACTAATTAAGATGAATTATTATGATTATTATTAGGTGTTACAGGGTCATTCCACCTCAGTTCACCCAAAAAATTGCAATTTGAACCCTCACATTGTCCAATTGCAAGGAAAATTGGTGTATGAGTAAGTCATAACCAATGTTGGGGAGTAACAGATTACATGTACCGGAGTTACATAATCAGAGTACAAATTAAGAGTAACTGTATTCAGTTACAGTTACTGTTTCAATGAGTGGTATTTGGATTACAGTTACTCTGCTGAAATAAATGGATTACATGGCACTATTTTCCTGATTTCACATTTTGTGCTACATCTCTTTTATTATTATTTTTTATTTCAGTAATTCCACTCATTGCCGGAAACCCACACAGTACGCGTGCAGTAAGAGCTCATCGAAGAGCAGGTAGAAAAGAGTCAGCAGTGCACAGGTAAAAACGCATTTGTGTCTTGGAAATTTTTCTCCCGATGTGAGATATAAAAGAAAATAACAAATATAAAATCGCCTACTTAAATATCAAACCGGAGCTACTGGCACTGGTGAAAACAACCTGCATATGTCATGTCCTACAGTGACCTGCGACATGAGGGGACACGCACACAAACACACACAAACACACACAAACACACACCTGCATCATCGTCATCAACCTGAGAACACGAGGACCACGTCTCCTGTAGCTACTGTGCAGACACCACCGTCCTCCCATGTGCTGCCTAGGCCGCGCTTCCTCCTGTGCGCCTCTAAACCAGAACTAACACCAGGATTGAAACCGGGACTAACCCAGGACTAAACCAGGACTAAACCAGGACTAAACCAGGTGTAAAACTAGGACTAAAACCAGTGATCTCATATAGAAAGCATTTCTCTATCAATAATATTTTTAATACGGTTAAGGAAAGACTGGGCTTTTTTTTTTTACTTTAAGCAGACAAAACATCTTATGTTAAGATTTCCTGGTCTTTGTTTCTCTACAGCAAACAGTTGCTTATTCATGGAGATTTGGGCTCAACAGACAATTTGAAGAGAACAAGAATTTTCAGGATGTGGTCGCTACATTCATGTTGTTTTAAAAAGCATGACAATATCAAGTAATCCAAAGTATTCAGATTACATTACTCACCTTAAGTAACTTAATGGATTACATTACAAACTACATGTTGGGGTATGTAATCTGTAATCTGTAGGGGAATACATTTCAAAAGTAACCTTCCCAACACTGGTCATAACCAAGAAAGCCAAATTTTCAAATTTTTGCATGATTGGAATAAAGGTTGCAGAGATATCGCAATTTTATTTTTACATTTTTTCCATGGTCGCTGAATTTCAAATTGCATTTACTCAGCAACTACTGGTCCAATATCAAAAACCAAGATATCTCTGGAAAGGGGAAATCGTAAGGAATACCTATATACCAAGTTTCAACAAAATGTGACAAAGTAGGGTTTAACTCATTGGGTGAACTGAGGTGGACTGACCCTATAGTATCATTTAATGTGGTCAAAATGAAGGTAAATAAATGACTTGAGCTCTTACTTTCTGACTTGGACGGCCTTTCTCAGATTTCCAGACTCAAACTGAGAGTTGAATTTAAGCGATTCGCCGTCGTCTTCGATCACAGGGCAGCTGAAACACAAGAATAAAAGAACTTCAACTGACTGTGCACGAAAATACAAAAGAATGTCTAATGAAAAAACAAAAGCAAATAGGTTTCATGTAATTTATTAATTTGCAACTAACAAGAATATTTTAGTACCAAAATGTCATTTCAATCTACTACGTAAATGTTGATGTCTGTTTACGACACATTGGCTTTACTTTTTTATTAGAATGTTTAATTTCATAAAACCGAGCACATACTAGAGGAATGGTGTGAACTCTTAGACAATATGAATGAAATAAAAGGATTGTGGATTGTGAAGATTCATAACATCTGGAGGCTTCAGAACCACCTCGGACCCTTCTCCACGAAAATAACTCCCTCTTCTGGAAATCTCAGTGTATTTTTTTTTGACTCCCATCTCACTTTCCAAACTTGTGTTAAAAAACAAAACAAAACTATGCATTCTTGCTTCCTCCACTTTCAGACCATCCAAAATAACAAAATATTCGTACCCCCCGATGAAGTTGTTGACTCTCAAATTTTTTCCAGACTCGACTACTGCAACTTCCTTCTTGGCATTGACAATAAAACTCTTTCGCACCTCCAACTGGTTCAGATGCAGCAGTTCGGCTCGTCACCAGTTTTAATAGACGACAACACATCACTACTATTTCAGCTTCCCTTCACTTCGATTTTAAGATTTCAATTATCACTTTTAAAACTCATTTAGGTCTTGCACCAAGTTACGTTTCAGAACTTTTAACCTCGTACAAGCTCCCCCACGGTCGAAGATCCTGTTAGCTGTTCCAAACTCGAGGCTCCGGATGAAGGGTGATCGAGTATGGAAGATAATTTGTTTGATCAGATTTTGAATTTTAAATGTTGAATTTGTCCCTTTGAATGTTTTAACTCTGAAAAAACATGTCTGAATTATTTCTATTTTGAATTTTGTTACTGAGATTTTAAGTTTACATTTTCAAAGTGTTTGAATTTTGACTGTGGTATATGAGGACTTCTGCTGAATATTTAAAAAGTGATTTTTTATTTAGAATTTTAGAGTATAAAATTCGCAGGAAAGTTCCAAGATGCCAAGGTCAAAGCAATCGATCCAAAGTCATCCAATCTAACTTAGTAACAAGCAGGAAATGGTGTCGTGAACTAGTCTGATTGGTCAGAATTGGTCTCATCAAAACCTTATCTCTTTTATTTCTTAAGTCTAAACCTGTCCACAGATGAAAACAGCCAACAGGAAATAACCTCTGTCCTCCTCACTCACTTATGATCGATTGCTTCCGCCTTGGCATCTTGAAACTGTGTCGTTAAATGTTTCACTGCGAATTTTACACTCTGAATTTGAACTTTTGAATTTGAGGGCATAAAATATCTGTGCTGAGTATTTAAAAGGTGAAGTTTTTATTTTGAATTTGAAACATATTGAAAAAGTATACTTTCAGAAATTAAAATTCAGCATAAAAATAATTCAGTTCTTTTTTCAGTTTAAAAAAATTCAAAGTGAGAAATTCAGCGGTATTACACATTCAAAATCTGATGGAACAAATTATCTTCCATAATCGAGCCTTTTCAGTCCAGATGCTTCAGCTTTGGAATGACCTGAGTTGATAAGTCTTGCACCATCAGTATCATCTTTAATATGACTTCTTAAAACCCACTTTTATCATCAGGCCTTTTTGTGGCGTGTTTTAATGTGTGGTGGTGATTGTTCTGGTGGTGGTTGTTGTTGTCCTTTTTCTTGTTGCTGCTGTTGCTGTTGTTGTTGTTGTTGTGGTCTTTGTTGTTGTTGTGGTGGTTGGTGCAGTTGGTGTAGTTGTTGTTGTGGTGGTGGTGGTGGTTGTTGTTGTTGTGGTTGTTGTGGTTGTCGTTGTGGTTATTGTGGTTGTTGCTGTTGTGCTTGTTGTTGTTGTTGCAGTTGTTGTTGTGGTTGCAGTTGTTGTGTTGTTGTTATTGTAGTTGTTGCGGTTGTTGTTGTGGATGTTGTGGTTATTGTTGTTGTTGTTGTTGTTGCAGTTGTTGTTATTGTTGTGGTTGCAGTTGTTGTGGTTGCTGTTGTTGTGGTTGCAGTTGTTGTGTTGTTGTTATTGTGGTTGTTGTTGTTGTTGTTGTTGTTGTTATTGTTGTGGTTATTGTTGTTGTGGTTGTTGTTGTTGCAGTTGTGGTGGTGGTTGTGGTTGTTGTGGTTGTTGTTGTGGTTGTTGTGGTTGTGGTTGTTGTGGTTGTTGTTGTTGTGGTGGTTGTTGCAGTTGTTGCGTTGTTGTTGTTATTGTGGTGGTTGTTGTGGTTGTTGTTGTTGTTGTTGTGTTGTTGTGGTTGTTGTTGTTGCGGTGGTTGTTGTTATGGTTGTTGTTGTGGTTGTGGTTGTTGTTGTTGTTGTGGTTGTTGTTGTGGTGGTTGTTGTTATGGTTGTTGTTGTGGTTGTGGTTGTTGTTGTTGTGGTGGTTGTTGTTATGGTTGTTGTTGTGGTTGTTGTTGTTGTTGTGGTGGTTGTTGTTGTGGTGGTTGGTGTTATGGTTGTTGTTGTGGTTGTTGTTGTGGTTGTTGTTGTGGTGGTTGTTTCAGTTGTTGCGCTGTTGTTGTTATTGTGGTGGTTGCGGTTGTTATTGTTGTGGTTATTGTGGTTGTTGCGGTTGTTGTTGTTGTGTGTTGTTATTGTTGTTGTGGTTATTGTTGTTGTCATTGTTGCTGTTTTCTCTTATCATAATGAACACTTTGACTCCCTCTATAACAAACATAGCAAAACAAACCCAATGTCCAAAAACAAGTCAACAAGTCAATTTATTTTGGAGTCAAACTGTGCAATTAGAGTAAGGACAGCAGTGTTATGTCATATTCCGGGTACATATAAGAAGAAGAATAAATGGACGTTACGCTAAAGGTGAAATAAAAGCACGGACAGAAACAGGTAACAGCTCACCTGGGAATGTCGAGGTCATAAACTACTTTATCCAGGATATCGTTGGGATGAATCAGCCTCTCGATGTCCTGGAAGATCTTGGCCCTGGAATCAAACATGCATTTTTTATTACCACACTAAGCTGGGCAGAAGTGTGGCTGCCAATATGAATCTACAGCCTCTCCAAGTACCACCAACAGGCCTGTCACAATAAAGGCTATATCGACTTATGGTTCAGTATATGAGAACAATAGATTTCTGGGCTTATTGGGTGTAGTTTTTCTTTGCAATAATGGGGAAATCTTTGTTAGTTTTGTTGTAAGATAATAAGATTTGTGCTGTAGACAGTAGAATAAGTAACTTCTAGGGGTAATTATTGCTTCATTCTGCTATTTATTTGTTGCAGCTTGTGTCTTTTATTATATTATCCTTTATCTTTATATTCGTCTGTAGTGATATGTCGTGCTTCAACATTTATTACAGTGACAGGCCTAACTACCGACCACTATCTCTTGCCCAAGGACACAACAACAGTACGCACAGACAGGAGCATGCTCAAACCGCTAAAGCACAGAAGCCAAGAATTTAACACGGAAACAGAGTCAGAATATGGCTATGAATTTTTACATATTATGGTTAAATTTGACTGTATTTGGCTGTCAAAAGTATCAAAAATCAGACACTAATCGATACTAAAACTGGTACTGAAACTAGATCTAGTCACTAGTCACATTCGTGGGACAGAAATTAAGCTTTCCTGAATAGCCTTAGAATGATCTTGAGCTGTATCAGAACAAGTACAAGAGCACACAGACTAGTATACGTCAAAGGGACCATTGTGGATCCTACCTGCACCACTGAGGTAAACATATTATAACTAACAATAACTAACATAACTAACAGGGGTGTAACGGTTCATGTATTTGTGCCTGTGGTGGATACCTCTGCCACCACTCCATAGTGTCAGTATTATTTAATTTTAATTATTATTTACATTAAGTTAATTACATTATACATAATTGAATTCCTTTATTTAGACTTATGTTCTAATTTGAGTGCACACATTTTAGTTAATATAAGTCTAATTTACTTACACTTGTTCTTTTTGTTTTTTTGAGCACCGGACGGAGGACCCTGGGAGGACTCAGCAACACTATTTAGTTTGTTTTAGTTTTTTCACTTAGTGTTATAATTATTTGCCTTTTTGTTACTTTGATTAATTTATTGGTTTAGTTAGTTAATTAGTGTAATTCCTCCCTCTTGTGTTTAGCTTTAGTTGGTCCTTAGGTATTTAAACACCTCTGTTCTTTTTTGTTCTGTTCAGTTTGATTTTGAGTTACCCCAGTTGGGCCCAGCTTTTTTTGTTAATAATTTGCCTAATTTGAGCCTTTGTTAAATTATATCTTTTTTGACTTTATTAAATTTAAACTTATTTTTTTACCTTGTCTTTGCCTTTCTGTTTGGTCCACTACAGTGCCAAACCATTTCATAAGGGCAGTTTGGTTCAGTGCAGGGCTGTGCACAAGTAAATTTGCGCAATTTGTGTGTGTTTACATTCTGCCACTACATGTGCAGCTACACGGAAGGCTCGACTCTTTAAAATTCACGAGGGAACTTGTCCGTGATTGGGGTGGCAGTGTTTCCCACGGTTCTTTATAGTTAGAGCGGCCGCCTTGACAACAATTGACCCCCGCCTTGACAACGTCCCTTCAAACCACGTGAATCCTCACAAAACTACAGTCATCACGCCGCGGTTTTCACTTTTGTCTTTTGCCAGCATGGAATCTCTGCCCCACACTCCCACACCTGCGACCTCTGTTCCTCGCCAAAGTGTATTTTCAACCGCTGGGGCCATTGTGCCTGCAGATCTGCACTTTCGGCAAACAATGTGGTCAAGTACTTTTTTCTGGCCATAAATATGAAGATTGCGTAAAACTGATTGCGTGCTAGAACTGTTAGTGCTGCACTTTACTTTTTGAAAAGTTTAGTTTACTTTATTTTTATAATATTTCATACATTTGTTTCTTATTTGAGAATATTTAATTTAACTTATCAGTATTGCCAAGCAGCACTTTGCATTTATTTTATTTTACCATTTGTATAATGTTAAAACAAATGGCTGGTTCAAAAAACAAAGAAATAAACAAGCAACTGGTTTTAGATTTTGTTCCCAAACTGTACCGAAACTGATCTGAGCCGTGACCTCAAAACTGAGGTACGTACCGAACCGTGATTTTTGTGTACCGTTACTCCCCTAAAAACTATTATTTAATGTTCAAAATTGCATTATATTATTTAAATAGAGTCTTTTTTTGTTATTATCATGGTATTAGAATTGGTATTGAGTATCAAGTCTATTCCTTAGCGTCAAAATCGAGTTAGAAATTTTAGTATCGTTACAACACAAATTCATACCAAAAACTAGAATCAAATCAGATTTCTCCCTCACCTCTGCACCCCGTATATCCTCTCCAGAAGCGGCTCTCTGAACGTTGGAGCCACGTGACCAAAGTAGTCCGGATACGCCACCTCTGCGTACTGCGGCACCGACAGCGTCCCTTTCACCATCTCCACGTAGAGGTCGGGATCGTGCAGAGGAAGCAACAGCGCCGTGTCCGGTACCTCCAGAACGCCGCCCTCCGCCGTCTCGTCGTCCGCCCCCTCCGACCCGCAGTCGCTCCCCCCTCCCCCTGAACGCCGCGAGGACAGCCCCCCCAGAAGCAGAGGGGACTGAATCTGCCTGGTTGTGCTTAGATCTTCTTGCCTCAATCCCCTGTGCTCGGTATTTAGAGACACCACGCCGTCCATAGTGTCCAAAGATACACACTCCAGTACGCGCGCGAGTTCTTTTTCGATATCGTCCACTTCCGTTGTCGTTTTGCTTAAAGAGGAAAGAGTACATTCGTGTCTGTCTGTGGTTGGAATGTGCGGATCTTCGGTTTTGTCTTGGTCCTTGGATACGTGGATGTTTTCCAGTTCGAGCGGGGTGAGGTTGGGGAGAGGAGGATTAGGAGGAGGAGTGGAGGTGGAGGTGGAGGTGGAGGTAGAAGTGGAAGGAGGCAGGGGTGGGTCTTTCTGTAGCCCGGACAGAGGGGCGTGTTTGGGGGAGAGCGCCTGAGCAGTGGGGACGATGATTGGACGAGGGGGAGATTTGGCAGGAGTCACTGATGAGGAGAATGGAGATGATGTGCTGGTGGAGGACTTGGAGCAGTCAAAGTTAAATCCCTGCGAAAAACAAACATAGAATTTATAATTAAAGTGGGCATTGTTGGCAAAAATATACTTTTATTTTAGCATCATTTACTTAATTAGAGTTATTTTTCAGTTGATTCATGCAGATATGAGTAAACCTGCTTGAGCTGAGAAAACATTAATTTTCACCAGCCTTGTCCTCATCTCACTGGATTTATTTGCAGTTTTAAAGGTGCATTGTGTAACTTTTCTGGTAGAGGGTCTGTCAAATTTATTGCTTTATCTGGAATGTTTCACCATACGGCATTAAACCTTTCTATCTCCATGGAGACCAAACCAGACCAACTTAAGGCCGCCACACACTACAGGAGAATTTGCCCGATTTTGGCTGCGATTTCCTTCTCCTTTATGGCAAGCCAAACTGTTTACATTTACACATATATTTAACGCGTTTAACACCTTATTTGACGCGTATTACAAGCTTAGTTGACGCGTCAAATTATTCTTATTTAATACGTCAATTTATTCTACATATGATAATGATCCGATACTGCTTTTACTTTATTTCCTTGCTTAAATGAGTATATAGTTTCGATATTTGTTTTAGTATTGATTAATATCTGATTTTCGATACTTTTGACAACCGTAGACTGGTTTTGGTTGTGAACTTAGGGCCTGTTTACACAAGAACGCTTGGGGGTAAAAACGACAAAATATTTTATCGTTTACACAGTGACTGCGTTTCTGGGGGCCTAAAAATGCAAAAATCTGAAACCACCCTCCAGAGTGGAAAAGTTGAACACGCTCCGCTGTAGTGTTTCCGTCTACACTGCCCAAGATGCAAAACTCTGGTCAGATCTGCTCACGTCACATACACGTTCATGTCACATACATCACTACCGAGCCGCCTGGCATGCATACACAATCGGATTCCACACACTTTTGCGTCACCATATAAACGCAGATTTCCTTCCGAAAACACTCGTCTGAACGCAGAATAAAAAGTGAAGATGCACCGTCATCATATAAACGTAGTCTGAGGAGTTCTTTAAAAGTAAAAAGGCAAGAGTAGTTCCTCACGTGTGTCTGTTTACATCGACACAGTGCTCAGATCGAGGTGAAGCTGCAGATTAGTGACAGTGACTGTACTTCCTGTGGACTTTATTGCCAGTATTTTATGCTTTAAAAATCATGTATCTGAAGTTTTGCACCACATTTCACAAATAATAATAGCACAGTTTTGATTTGTATCTAAACTAGAAGTGCAGTGCTCTGATCTTTTGAACACTTAAGAGTCTCAAAGTGGTTTTACTGTCGAGGGGAAACAGCAGACGCGATCACTCGCAGCTTTATATCCTGTGGTCCGCAGACAAATCTCGCTGCAGTCTTTGTGATCGGACATTTTAAGTCTCACAAGATTCTCCTCGTGTCTGTGGTGTGTGCTTTTTGTCGCACGTTTAAAAATCGTTTAAGACCGAAAAATCCTGTAGTGTGTGACGGCTTTTACAGGTCAGATCTGTGGAGCAGTAACCCTGGTCACAGACATAATGTTTGTTTTATTAGGTATTTTTGAGCTGTAATTCAGTAAATGTAAAATAAAGTTACACAATCCACCTTTAACTTTATTACAAGCACTGAAAGTATTATTAATCGCTGTAAGATAATTTATTAATATTTATTTTGTACCATGGTCAGTGAGAATTTTTAAAAGATAATGATGAATTTGAAATCTTGTATTTATGGAAATTAGAATGAATGAATTTGGTTTAATTTAGTTTTAAATGTTTAATGATGAATTGGATTGTGATTATTTTAAGGAGAAACTGTTAATGATAAAATGTTGTAGTTAGACTTGGTTTAATGTAAATAGTTTCTTTAATGTATTCTGCAGCCGCCCAAGGACTGCAGATGGAAAAAATCTCTCTGAAATTAATGTTTTCTGTGCACTGTCCTTGTTTTAAATAAATAAAATAATAATAATAGCAATAAGTAAACAAATGAACTACTTTTAGGAGGGATTAGCTTTAACTAAAACAGAAATACATTTGCATTTTGTAACTTCACAGTATAAAACACTTTTTGTACAAGCAGGACACAAGCAGCTGGCAGACCCCCTCCCCCAGCAGAAAAGTTACACAGTGCACCTTTATTTAACTTTATTTACTTTAGAGGAACACGTGGTTGTTAGTGCATTTGTGAATCATTTTGCCACTGTCTTACAGAAATGCTAATATTATTATTGATTTTTATAGATCTACAGTTGGTATAGAGGTTCCTCATCAGGCAACGCTCTGTATTTTGGGTTTGTATCCTAAAGATTTTGTTGCCAAGAATAAAAGAAAAAAAAAGAAAGAAAGAAAAATGTGCCTCCTTAAAAAGTTTGGCCTATGGAAATGGCGTCTTGTATTGCGTGGGAAAGACTTACATTTATTTTGAGAAGAAAAGCTGAGGACTTTGAGGATCTGGAGACCCTTTGTAGAGTTTCTAAAAAATAACTACATTTTTTATTTTATGTATTTATTTTTTATTGTGACTTGTACAATATTGAAGGTTATATGAATATTTTCAAACCTGCACTTCATTATTATCAGTGACAATTGTCCGTGTGAGATTAATGTTGCTATTGTTTATGTTTTTTGTTTCTATGTTTTTGTTTCTATGTGTTTTTGTCAACACTTTAATATGAAAAATCTTGTTGTTTGTTTAAAAATATAGATTATTATAGATTATTACTGGTATCTGACCTGAAAGTCCTCGGAGAGCTCCACAAAGAACCTCTCGTAAACCCTCAGCTCCTCGTACGGACGCCCAGGGCCTTTTTTCGGGTGCAGCTTGTTCAGGTCCGTCTCTATGTCATCGTTCTAAACAAAGAAAACACAGAAATAAATCACAGCCGTTAATGTAATTGTTTTAAACAAAGAGAAAAAAATGAAAGAAAAGCCATGAGAAAGCTGTATGCATTATGTTACAGAGGACACTTACTGCCCCCTGCTGGTGATCTCGCTAAATGCATTTGGAACCTTAATCTTGATCAGAATCGGGACTAGGCGCTTTTTAAGAAATCAAAAAACAAATCATGTCCACAAATGCGGCCATGTGTGTTTGTATATTTGTTCGTCATTTGAATATTTGTTATTTTTTACAATTCAACAAATGACAAAACAAAACCGGCATTGAAATATTAAACTAATAAAGAACAAAAAACAAGAACAATGAGAGTTCAAAAGACAAAGCTCAAACTGTAGACGTGCCAAAGTTATACTACTACTCAACTATGGTTCATTTATTTTATTTTATTGACCTTTGTTGACCTTTTATTGACCAGAATAGTCCCACTGAGATTAAGGATATATTTTCTGGGGAGTCCTGGCCCCACAGGAAACCCTACTGTTGATGCTTTTAATGGTTTAATGGAGAAAAACTGGACCAGGCACATGCAAACTCCACACAGAAAGGACCCACACTGCTCCAGAATCCAACCCAGAACCTTCTAGCTGTGAGGTGAGAGCGCAAACTGCTTTGTCATGTTAATTACAATATGAGCATTAATATTAACTAAACAACTAAGCGGATTAATAAAGTAGAGCTCAGTATCTGGGAGACATTTGAGGCAGACATTGTAAACAGCAGAATTACTGAAACATGGACAAATTCAAACAACACAACTGCCACAACCAGGTAGATTTTTGATAACTGCATGACAAAGCTGTACCCATTTTTTATTTTATTTTTGCATATATTTGAGCAAAGTTTGTCTAGCCCCAGTAAAGATATATTGTATACACAGCTCTTGAGGTCAAAATAAATCTACTGTGTGCTGGCTGCATCTAATTATCTGAGGCAATAAAACAATTTATAATCAAAAAGTGAAAAGTGTTTATGAACCCATTGCAGTAAATAATTAGGATGCTCTGAATACATAAGGTGATTGAGGAATACATTTGGACCACTGCAAACCGTTTCAAATAAACTTCCGTATTTTTCGGTCTACAAGTTGCACTTTTTTCATGGTTTGGGTGTTTCCTGTGACTTATATACTGGTGTGATTTACATATTAATTTTTTTAAACTGAAGTCGCGAGAGGTTCTAGTCTTATGTGTCAGTATCTGCTGCTTCTGTTCCTCCTGTACCACTGTCACTTGGCTCTACTGCGCATGTCTCCTGCAGAAAGAGCCTCTGTTCTGCTGCAAATAGTGAAATATTCAGCCGAAAACGAAAATCGAGCAGCAAAACGAAAGCTTGGAGTGAGCGAGAAACTTGTGAGGGACTGGAGAAAGCGGGGATGGAGAAAACAACTTCATGTAACAAGGAGGATGCACCATGAAACTTTCCTGGAAGTCACTGGATGGATGGACAAAGCCTGAACTTCAGTGACACCGAAACCATCCTGTCAGGATTCAGAAAGGCCAGAATAATTCTAATTGGAACTGATGCTGAGTCTGACGACAGCTCTTTTTACCTCCAAAGGTCATGGAGTTGCTCAGAAGTGACACCGAGGACGAAGAATTGAATGGATTTAGTGATTTGGAGTGAGATGGAGAGTTTGTTAAACTTGTTCTGTTGTTTATGTTATAGTTTATCTGAAGAACTGTTCATATGTGACGTTAACAGTCTGTTCTTCTCTGTTCTATTGTTTTTACTAGAACTTGACTTTCAAGATGAAATGTCGGTTCTTGGTCTCTGATTTTATAAAACAAATTTCCATCAGGAAGTGCAACTTATATATGCTTTTTCTTCTTCTTTATGCATTTTTTGGCTGGTGCAACTTATACTCCAGAGCAACTTATAGTCCAAAAAATAAGGTAGTTTTGTTTTTTTGATTAGTTTTTAAGACAGGTACAGCAACTTTAAGGACTAAATCTAATATAGACTTAGATGAACTTTATTGATCCACAAGGGAAATGATCTGGACACAGAAGCTCACACATCACAACTTCCCACACTGACCGGAGACGGCTGGTCTTTCTCATCCTCTTCGTTCTCCGTGTCGTTCTCCGTGTCGGCCTCGTCGTTGTCATCGCTTTCGTCCACCACATCATCCACTGCGAGGACAGAGAAATAAACATTTTCAGTGGCAAGAAAAAGCAGATTAAAAAGAGAAAAATGGATTCGGTGTTTGGGCCTCAGCAGCGTGTGACAGTTAGACAGAAATGTGAGCTGTTGCTATGATCAATACGTGTCAAAGATTAGGAGGAGCTGGAGCAGTTAAAAGCAGAGCTGATTGAAAAGTCCATACTGGTAGAACATGTCGACTAGACGCTGTCAGCCGAGCAGACAGAGAAGGAGATGGGTGATCCTTTTATGTAGTGCCGGTAATTAGAACTGTCAGAAATGCCGTGTCTCATATTGTGTAAAAGGTGACACCGAGGATAACTTGTAAAATGGATTTATGATTAAAGAAAAATGCTTCATTATGCCTTTAAAGGTTCTAAATTATGTAAAAATGACTTTACTCCATGTAGTTTCGTTCTCAAAGACATATGTGGAGTTATGTTTTGTTTCAGTCACACATGTTTGAGTAATCCTACATTATTAGATTAGTCTGTTTGCATAACGTTTTGTTCCAACTTGTGATGAAATTGTAGTTTTCAAGTTAACAGCTACCTTTTACTCGCTTGCATCATCAGTCGGTTTCACTTTACCTTTTACTTTTTACTTTTTATTACTTACTTTTTATTATTTACTTTTACTTTTTACTTTACGTTTTACTTTGTGGAAACCGTCTGACCTCGCAGCATTAGGATTCGTTCGCTTGACGGTAGGTGGGTACTTTTTTATTTAACCACTCGCTGCTATTTGGTCGTGACGCATGTAATGTACCGTTAACGGGGCTAACTGGTATATTAAGCTTTTCCCAAATCCTGTAGGAAGAAGGACAATAACGTCTTTCCCCTTGATAAAATTCACCAAACATTCTCTTTGTTCCGGCTTAAATCCTCAAACTTGGGAATCGTTGCCAACACAGAATGTCTGTCCTCGTCTACATCCATCTCGACGCTTTGTTTACTGTTGTGCTGTTCCATTAAAGGGACCCAGACAGACGCTTGAGTTTGACGTCATGGCTTCACAGATCTTTCATTGGCCTTTGTACAGTCTAAAACTTCCGGGGTTCTGGCAAGCCGTCTAGTGCAGGCCATGTCCAAACTATGGCGCGTGGGCCAAATGCAGCCCTTAGACAAATATTTCTTGGCCCACAGGTTTCCAGGTGAATTGGCCCAAATTACCTTGCATCAATTAAAAATGTACTTTTTACTGCAAGTTTTTTTTTTGAAAATCTATTTTGATAAGGCTATTTAATATGTAGTGTGTGGTTTTAAGGATCTTATCATGAATAAAGTCTGATGGCTCATTCTAATGTGTTAAACATGCACATATTTAAGTTATTGACTGTATTGAGCACCAGTCTACGGCCCTCGATCAGCTCTCTGCTTCGTCTGGGTTTAGATATGTAGCCCTTGATGAAAAAAGTTTGGACACCCCTGGTCTAGTGTATTCTGATTCCTGACCTAGTCACTGGAGAGAAATGAAGTTGAGTGGAGGCACTAGGTGGTGCCAGCCTGGCTAATCTTTTAACATTTGTTTCGCAGATTCCAGGTTCCACAATTATCCATTCTAGTGAAAGTCGGGCTGTGCCAAAAATCGAAAATTCAACAGAGCACGATCTCAACTTTGGTCGATATTGACAATAAGGCAAGCGCATTTTAATCGAGAGGTCAACAGCCAGTCGTGTGGCAGTAAGATTGCGTGCACGTCTTTCTGTTGCCAACGGTAACACACGCATTCGTTTTTTGTTTTTTATTTATGATTTGTCATTTTTGAGGGAATGGATACCTGGCACAATAATAACAAAAAACTCTAAATACAAGTCTAACACACATACAAAAATACCAAAAACAAAACACAACAACAACAACAACAACAGCAAGAGAACAATAAATAAATAAAAAGAAGAGACAAAGAAAGAAGAAAAGAAGGGGCATGTATTAGATTTAATATATTGTCCAACTCATTCCAACTTTTAAATGTGAATTTCTCAGGCAGTATTAGTCCTATCAACACAAGAAAAAAACAAAACAAAAAACTGTAGTGATCCTGACTCCCTGCCCTTTATGTCTGAAGTCCAAATGTCTATGTTTTTAATAAAATGGAAGACAATCAAATAGAAAAAATTACTACATGACATTGCAAGGTGTTTGAGAGAAGACTTCAGCCTAAATATGCGGGTTTACGTGTTAAACATGTGTGAATAAAACAAAACACAACTCCAAGTCTGTTTGTGATGAGGAAACAACATTATAAGAACGAAAACAGCGTAATATGGGCTCTTTAAATGAAAGTTTTTGCAGCACAAAGGCTCAAGGGCGAGGACTCTTTTTCACAGTTAGAGGAAACTCGCATCACCCGGCAACCAAAATCTTCTAAGTGCTCGGTTTCCCACATCAACCCAAAAAAACCCCCAAACATCTAGTGCCGAGTAGAGATGTAACAATGCAATTTTTTTCTTGATACACGAGTCACAAAGTAGAGGCTTGAATGAACAAAAACAAATCTTTCCTCAATTAATTACGTAATGGCTTATTTGATTTGATTAACAGAAAACATTTTATTCAGTTACATAATCTCTTCTGTGCACAAGATCTGGAGATGTTCTTGCCGTGAGTCACAAGTGGAGGCTTAAATAAAAAGGATAAATTTAACAGCATAGTTGTTTTCTGTCATGTTTTGTATTATAAAATGATCAGAATTTATCAAAGGACTGGGAGAGGACTTTACGTAATACTTGGGATAATTTAATGATAAAGAGAGAGCAATGATTTCTGCTCAGAAAAAAAGACCACCCGGTGTTAAATTTCTGAATAAAAAGCAACTGTATGCAGTGTTTGAAAGGGGGAAAAAAGCCCTACAGAGTTACTAAAGGGCCAGGTGACAGGACACATGGAGGCTCTGTGCTGTATGGCCCTTCGCTGAATGTCTCTCCCCACTCTTCGTTCCCATTTCAGACTACTCACTGTCCAGTCCAATAACAGCTAGACAAAAATAAACTAGGGTCAGAGCCGGCACCATCTCACACAGCACCAAGAGCTTTCGGGGGCACCACAGCGCCGTCCATCGCTCTTCGGCGCCTGCGTCGGCGCAACCCACCCCCACACCCCACCCCGTCTTGACTTTTGGTGTCACCCCCGGTCTCAAAGCTTTTCAGCGTCAAGAAGTTGAAAAGCTGAACTTTTCGCGTCAGCGCGCCCGCATAACAATAATATTCAGTGTCTGTCAGCTTGACTTTATTCATCAGAAAAGTAGAAAAAAAAGAACCACAAATGAGCGGAGTAAATATTAGCCACAATCAGGGATGCAGGACTAAAGGACCGGAAACTAAACGGATCGACCGGATATCAAGATATACCGGGAGTAGACGAGACTTAATGGACTGACCGTGATAGACAGTATCGATATTAGACCAGGACTAGACCGGGACTGATCTGTATTAGCGAGTATAAATTTTACGCCCCAGTCAATCGAGTATTTTCCGGTGATGTTTTATGTCTAAAAACACTTATCAGTTGGTCTGTATTGTTTCGGGAAAGACCGGGACCGGGCTCTTGTTTTCCAGGGCATTTATGTGACACGCGTTCAACATTTTCACCGTTTTGAGGATTTAAATGTTTGTGGGGGTGTTCATATGAAACGCGTCCAAATGAGGCGTCAAGGCGTTTTTGACGTTTGGTGTGAACGCCCCTTAACAAAGCCTTTTAGTATCACATCCACGATTTAGCCTTTATTTTTATTGAACCGTATCGAATCGATTTGAAATATATCATATCAAATCGAAAGTGCACTGTATCGAGGTATGTATCGTATCGTGGCCTGTGTATCGAGGTGTGTATCGTATCAGCAACTCCTTAATGATACCCAGCCCTACTAGTTATTGACAAACTGCACTGAATGTGTTTTCTGGTTGTGTCTTCTGTTTTCTGTTTCTGTTTTTGATTGAGATTCTCATTTTTATATCAAACAGGAAACATTAAAGCCCTGGCACTGGAAATACATTTCAGTTTTGGTTTGATTTGATTTTTTCAGTTGAGATTTACACTCATCACATCATTAAGTCAAATTCTAGGAACTGACAAACTGCACTGAAACTTTTTCTTTTTTTAAGTAAGATTCTCCAAAGGAAGAAGTATAAATGGACTTTACAGACTAGTGTCCTGCTCCTGTATGAAGAAATGCTGTTTGCACAACAAATGTGGCACTTTTGTTTACATTTCCAATAAAAGTGTGCTATGCGTTACTTTTGAATTCATTAATTAGTTTTGTGTATAACATGCGATTAATACTACAGGTGGAAATTCGCACTGATGCTACAACCTGACGTACAATGCATCTCTCCTGTTAAGGTTAATGCAAACACTGTGCGCTGTCCCTGTCTCAAATAAATAAATACATAAAATAATCATGACTAATCACAGGAACTCATGCAATTAAGATTTTTATTTTTGCCCAGCCCTAAAATAAACACATGAAATAGACAGTGATGGGAAAAATACTTTGAAAACGTATTTAGTTACAGAATACCGAATACCAGAATTTGTATTCGTATTCAGACACATGGTCCAAACAGAGCAGAGTATTCTGAAAACGTAGAATACTTTTACATCGAGTTAAAAAGTGTAAAAGAAGCGACATAGGATTCACTGTTTTAAAAGCGTTTCCTATCACTAACTGGAGAAGGAAAAATCACATCTGCACTCACCACAAGAATGGAGTTTCACATTTTTCTAATTGATTATGTGCAGCTTGAAGCCTGAATTGTGCAAGTACTGTCATTTATTCCTTTGATTTTAGAAAAGAAACTATATTCTGAATACCACCTAATGAAAAAGTAACTGTACCTGAATACGGTTACTCAAAATGTGTAATCAGAATATGTATTTTTGGCACATTCAGTTACTTCTCAAGACTGAAAAGAGCACAGCGAATGAAAAAAAGTCAAGCGGAAGAAAGAGCTGGTGAGCAGGGATTATCTTCAGTGAGTGAACAGTATTAA